CAGAAGAGCAGACTGTCTCACTAGTGTTCGGGATGCCTCCTAACCAGCCTATCTGGCCTCTTAACACCTTGTGTAGCAGTTTCCTCAGAATTCAAACACCCGTTTCTGGAAAAGAGTCTCACAAGACTTAAGAGGCTCATGACAGATCCAAGACCCAAGGTTATAAAAGCAGTCAACAATTGCGGTGAAGGAGACTGTGCAGCGCAGTGCCTGCAGACGCGCAGACAGCGCGGGGATGCAGCTTCTGGGAGATGCCACTCGTGCTGGAGTGACTTATTGGCGATTCAACTGTCATTGTGTCACTCGCAAACTACCCTCACTCGTGCTTCCAGGAAGTAAGATGGATACACTCATTGCTTCGCTCAGCTAGTGGAGTCCTCTTTGTCCACAGTGAACAGATGTTTCCGTGCGCCATGTTTACCTTCCAGTCTTTTTCCCACTAGACGCTCTACTCTTCCGTCCTTACATGTCTGCAGCCTTGTCTCCTAACACTTTGCCTAATACATTAGGTCCCTAATCCATGCTAATTCTACCAACGAATGAACTGAAACAAAGATGCCTAATGGCCGGCTGAGAGGTATTATATATATTTTTTCTTTTGGTTTTGTTTTTTTTTGAGACAGGATTTCTCTGTGTAGTCTTGTTTGTCCTGGATCTCTTTCTGTCCACCAGGCTGGCCTCAAACTCAGATTGCCTGCCTCTCCTCTGCCTGAATGCTGGGATTAAGGTTGGGACACTAGTGTGGATAACTTCTTTACATATATATATGTATATATATATATATAGATGAATGAGTATTTTGCATGTGCATCTGTATGCCAGAAGGCATTAGGTCCCATTACAGATGGATCACAACCATGGTGGTGAGCTACAATAGGTTGCTGGGAATTGAACTCAGGACCTCTGGAAGAGCAGTCAGTGCTCTTAACCACTGAGCCATCTCTCCAGCCAGTATGCTTACCCCCCCCCCCCCCCCAGGGTTTCTCTGTGTAGATTTGGTGCCTGTCCTGGATCTCACTCTGTAGACTAGGCTGGCCTCGAACTCCCGAGTGCTGGGATTAAAGGTGTGGCTAAACTCTTTTTTTTTTTTTGGTTTTTCGAGACAGGGTTTCTCTGTGTAGCTTTGCGCCTTTCCTGGAACTCACTTGGTAGTCCAGGCTGGCCTCGAACTCACAGAGATCCGCCTGGCTCTGCCTCCCGAGTGCTGGGATTAAAGGCGTGCGCCACCACCGCCCGGCCCTAAACTCTTAAAAAAAGGTATCTGTTATCTTCTTGGAGTAGTATCTATATCTTTACACACTGTGCTTTTTCTCTTTCCTACCCCTAAGAACACCCTAGTTTAATAATTCAGTTTTTTTCCCTTTAGTTGACTAAATTAGGTAGTCAGCCTAAATTTGTGTGTACGTGCATATGAGCACACATATTTAACATGGGGCCTCAAACATGTTAAATGATGGTATATACCACTAAGTTATGCCTAAGGCTGATTTTCTTTTTTGTTTTTTTCAGACAGGGTTTCTCTGTGTGTATCCCTGGCTGTCCTGGAACTTGATCTAATTCTAAATTTAGGAAGTTGCCAGGTGGTGGTGGCACATGGCTTTGATCCCAGCACTCAGGAGGCAGAGCCAGGCGGATCTCTTGAGTTCGAGGCTAGCCTGGTCTACAGAGTGAGTTCCAGGGCAGCCAAGGTAACACAGAGAAACCTTGTCTCAAAAAAAAAAAAAAAAAAAAAAGGAACTTTATTGTAACCAGTAAGAACAGACATTTGATAGGTAGGAGATCTGGCCTTAACATATTTATAAATTCCACTCCTTTAAGACAGTATAAATAACCCCCTACAGACCAACTCATCCCAGTGCTGGGCAAGCAGCTCCAGGTGAACCCCAGAAACTAACAAGACCCGTACAAACAAACGTAAGCACAGGCTTCTGCTGGAAGAGAAGGGACCACCGGAAGGCAGACAGTATTTGAGAAGATTTGTGTTGACATATTTTCCTGCTGAAGGAGTAAGTTCTAACCTCTTAAATTACCCAAGGAGACAAGTTTGGCGGATTAGATAGCTCAGAGAGAATCCTTGTCGATGATCCCTGGCCACTGGTTTTGCATGCATCCCAGGCGAGAGTGCCGGAACTCTGAATACATTTGCTATGGAACCAGGACTGAGGGTAGGCAAGGGTACAGTTTCAGGAGCCACGTCATTTTTCCATTTCATCTGATGCATAGGCCTCTTCACCTTTGGTTCTGTTTTAAAAAAATGTGTGAGTGCCTGAATGTATGTATATGTACCATTTGTGCCTGGGGCCCAGGGAGGCCAGAAGGTATCTGAATCCCTGGAATTGCAGTTACAGACAGTTGTGAGCTGCCATACAGATGCAGGAAATGGAACCCAGGTCCTCTGCAGGAGCAGCAAGTGCGCTCAACTGCTGAGCTACCTCTCCCACTCTGGCCTCCTCACCTTTACTGTGTTCACTTAGGGTATGCAAACTGCATCTGATCAGCCCAGAATGGTTAAGTCAGGAAAGACAGTTAGGAGATGTTCTTTTTTTCGGAAGGGGGCGGGGGGGGGGGGGGGGGGGGGGGGGGATTGAGACAGGATTTCTGTGTAGCCATGGCTGTCCTGGAACTCACTCTGTAGACCAGGCTGGCCTTGAATTCGGGGATCAGCCTGCTTCTGCCTCTGAAGCGCTAGGGTTAAAGGTATTAAAGGCATTCACCAAAAACCAGAGGAAAGACATGTTAAATAACTGTTCTTTAAGGTTCAATAAGAGTACTCAAAACAGGATTATGAATTCATCTCTACCCACTTATAATAATGGTCTAGAGGTTACAGAATTAGTGAAATTTATATTAGCATAGAATGAAATAAAAGCTGTGTGACCTTTTCTGCCAAACTCCATTCAATTTTTGTAGTAAATTCACTTGAAGAAATGATGTGTTTAACTGTCTGTAGCTCCTGGTCTATGTAGAAATGAAGCCTATACGCTGGGGATGAAGGGAACCTGAATCCCTATGGGAAAATGGGACAAAACAATTATTGTGGCCCTGAACTGCCTTTGAACTTCTCTATACAAGACAACTGAACTAATTGAATTAACTAATTGTTAATTTGGTTATCAACTGCCAAGTACATACATTGTTTCCCATACTCATGTATCAAAAACAATCACTTTGAGAACACTGACTTCCTTGTTTAAGGAATACCAATCCATTGTAGGTAAGTCTTTATGGGTGAGACGGCTCAGAACCTATAATCCTAGACAGAGGCTGAGGTGGGAAGGTTGCCAACCTGAACTACAGATTGAGGTGTTAAAAATTATAAAAACAAGACAGAAGTCACACTTAAAATAATTACTGGCTGGGGATAAAGTTTAGAGATGGATTACCTTTCATGTACAAAGCCCTGAGTTCAATCCCCAGTACTGAAAAAACTGATTAGAAGACAACTTGCTTTAAATACTTCTAACTCTAGGCTCAATGAGTTCTTTTTCTTTTTAGAAAGTGTTTTTTATTTTATTTTATATGTATGGGCATTTTGTCTGCATACCACATATGTGCCTGCCAGAAGAGGGTCAAAGGCCATGGAACTGGAATTTCAGGTGGGAAGTGGACCTGGGTCCTCTGCGAGAGCAGCCAGCACTCTTGACCCGAGCCACCTCTCCAGCCCAGCTCAATGAATTCTTAACATACTGACAATATCTACAGTTTTCTAATGCTCTGAATACCTGACAAATCTTATTTTCTTATAATCACTACTTTGAGGGTGTTTATGAGACCTGCTTATACTATTTTTTTTTTTTCAAAATTTATAGATAAATTTTCCTGCCGTACCTTGGGTGTTGAGGCTGGAGGACAACTTGTAGGAGCTGACTGGTTTTCAGACCTGAGGACTTAACTCGGGCTTGGCAGCAAGCATCTTGACCTGCCGAGCCATCTTGATGGCTCTCCTCTAAGCTTTCATTTTCTCATGCAGTCCATCCGGATCCTGGTCTTGAACTAGCTATGAAGCTAATCATGACTTTGAAGTCCTGAGTCTCCTGTCTCCACTTAAGTGCTGGGGTCACAAGGATGCACTAGGATGCCTGGCTCCGGGAGCATTACTAGTCATTTTGTTTTTTGTTTTTCAAGGCAAGGTTTCTGTGTAGCTCTGGCTGTCCTGGAGCTCGCTCTGTAAACCAGGCTGGCCTTGAACTCAGAGATCCACACCTGCCTCTGCCTCCCCAGTGCTGGGATTAAAGGCCTGCATCACCACCACACACCCCCCCCCCCCCCCCCCCCGGTGTATTATTAGTCTGTTCTTCAAATAGTTAACTAAAAAGCTAAGAAAAAATGAGAGAGAGACAAATAGTTAGTGTATTTTTTTTTTTTTTTTTTTTGGTTTTTCGAGATAGGGTTTCTCTATGTAGCTTTGGAGTCTGTCCTGGAACTCTGTAGACCAGGCTGGCCTCGAACTCACAGAGATTCACCTGGCTCTGCCTCCCAAGTGCTGGGATTAAAGGCGTGCGCCACCACCGCCCGGCTAGTTACTGTATTTTAATATATCCTTTTATAACACTTTAAAGGCAAATTTTAATTTCAAACCAGTATCTTTAAAAGTCAATTAAGTTTTTGGAATCTGCACAGGGTAGGGAATTCAGGTCACATATTTACTGTATTGTATAAACATGAAAGACGACGAACCATTATACACAATTTAAAAGGCTACTTCCTGTCTCTGTATTGACAGTGGTACTGGAGGGTTAGCCACTGACTTTCTTTTTGAGACAGTCTCCTGTAACCGTGGCTGCCTTTGAATTCACTATGCAGCAGGGAATGACCTTGAACTTCCGATCCTTTTGCTAACCTCCCAGGTCCTGGGATTACAGACTGCACTGCCATATCCACCTTCTCCAGGTGCTGGAGAGGGTAGTCAGGGCTCTGTCCATTTTGGGCAAGCCCTCTCCAGTATCATTCACATAGTTTATGACACAACAGTGAGACACTAACTAAAAAACAAAACAGAACCCAACAAGACAGTCTTTGATCAATCATTCATTTTCAAGCCCCTACATGGGAAGTGGTAGGTGAATATCTGTAGGAATACAATTTATTGTCTGCTCCTCCACTCAGAAGTAGCTGTGTAAAAAGAGAAAGAGAAAAGTAAATACAAATATACAGTAACTAGACATGATTAAATATGACTTTGATTTTGTTTCGGTTTTTCAAGACAGGGTTTCTATGTGTAAAAGCTCTGGCTGTCCTGAAACTCACTCTATAGACCAGGCTGGCCTTGAACTCACAGAGATCCGCCTGGCTCTTCCTCCCAGTGCTGGGATTAAAGGCGTGGCCACCACGGCCTGGCAAGACACTGTTCACAGAGTATGCATATCCTGTACTCTGACCATATTTCCATCTATACCCTTCCTTTGCTTCTTCCCCAGCAGTTCTGCTTCTACTTTGATATCATATATATATAAATGAGTTGATAGATGTAAAACCACCCAGCTTGAAACACAGTATTTAAGGGTGCCAATTAGAACAAACGTCTCTACTACTAGGTTAAGCATCTCCAATCCAAATGCAGGTTGGAGATGTAGCTCACAGGCAGAGCACATGCTGAGGACACATACAGCTCTGGGCCAATTTTAATGATATAAAGATGTGTTGCATCGGGCGGTGGTGGCGCACGCCTTTAATCCCAGCACTCGGGAGGCAGAGCCAGGAGGATCTCTATGAGTTCGAGGCCAGCCTGGGCTACCAAGTGAGTTCCAGGAAAGGCGCAAAGCTACACAGAGAAACCCTGTCTCAAAAAACCAAAAAAAAAAAAAAAAAAAAAATGTGTTGCTTTGCCTGCCTAAGGCACCTGATTGGCTAAATAAAAAAAAAAAAAAAAAAAAAAGAAAGCCTGTTACACTGTTACATTGGCATGATGCCACAAGTATAATCGTACACCTGACCCGACGTGACAGGTCACAGAAGACAGGTGCATTTAAAGTATTTTATAATTTGACAACCTGTATAACACAGACACAAAACAAAAAGTAAGTTCACATTTAGATTTGGGTCCCATTCCAAGACATGTCATAAATGTGCAAATATTCCAAAATCTGAAATGCTTCTGGTCCAAAGCGTTTCAGGTATGGGATGTGCAATCTGCATCACTATACAATGCATAAAATATTAAAAGCAATCAATCATTTTGGTTGAGACATAGTATGCTATTGTACTTCCAATGAAGTACTTGCCAAGGAATATAATAAACTAAAATAGTCTTTAGAGGACAGGTTTTTATGCTCTAGCCTAAGCTGGCCTCAGATGTGCAGCCGTCCTCCTGCTTCAGCCTCCCCAGACTGCGATGACGAGTGTGAGCTACCACACTCAGAACTAGTCAAGTTTTTAAAAGACAGTGCATTATTTGCAGGCAAATGTATACTGCAAATTATATAAGCAGCTCTAGGACCTACAACCTGAAAGAATTATTGGACAAGAGCTTATCTATGCACATAAAAATTACTATAATTCCTTAAGTATATTTTATAATCCATATTTACTCTTTAAAATGAATTCTGTAAACTTAATTATGTAAAATACGCCTGCAATTCCAGCACTCAGGAGGCTGAGGTAGGGGAGGCTGCTGTTAGCTTGAGGCCAGCCAGGGCTACATATCAAGACCACAAAACCATATCGAGATCACAAAAACAGCACACTAACAAAAAACCTTCTAAAACAGGTATTTCAAACTAGAACTACTGTGATACCATCAGTACGAAGTAGTGAACTTATGGACCATACGGGATTTGTAAATAATGTCTCATTAAGATATTCATGAGGCACCTGGGCCAACACAGGCCTGTGAGTAACACCAGCTACTAAGAAGTTGAAGGTCTGCCTGTGCTAGAGCAAGTTCCGAGCTAGCCTGGGCAACTCTGACAGCCCATCTCAAAATAAGAAAAAGAGGGCCAGTGTACCGGTACATGTCTATAACTTCAGCAATTGGGAGGTGGAAACGGGGTTCAAGGAAGGTTCTCTTCCGCTATACAGTAAACTAAAAGACAGCCTGGCTCCTATACATGAGCCCCCATATTAAAAACAGAACGAACAGGGCTGGGTACATAGCCAAGCAGCAGACCACTTGCTTAGCGTGGTAAGAACCTGGGGACTCTGTCCCTAGGACCGCCAAAAGAACTAAAATGGTATTCAGGGGGAAATGACCTGTTTCAAAAGGTCAACTTTTGTTGGGTGCTGGTGGTACACACCTTTAATCCCAGCACTCGGGAGGCAGAGGCAGGCAGATCTCTGTGAGTTCGAGGCCAGCCTGGTCTACAGAGTGAGTTCCAGACAGCCAGGACTGTTTCACAGAGAAACCTTGTCTCGGAAAAAAAAAAAAAAAATTCAATTTTTATTACTCTTTAAATAATTAAAGGGCAAATCTGTTTTTAGTTTTTTGGTCTGGGATGTAAAAAGAATTACGAAAATCAGAAACTTAAAACTGCTAACTTTAAGCTGGGCAGTGGTAGCACAGGCCTTTAATTCCAGCACTCAGGAGGCAAAGCCAGGCAGATCTCTGAATCTGAAGCCAGCAGGGTCTACAGTGAGTTCCAGACAGCCAGAGAAACAGCCAGAGAAAAAACAAACCACACCAAAAAATCCTGCTAACTTTAAACATCAGGTCTATCCAACTTTTTTCTTCACCAGTAACTTGTAAATTCTTACCCCTGTGTCAGTCCAGTCCACACTTAGAACTTTATCTTCATGAGCAGCGAGATCATAGAGAGGAGCCTTACAGCTGAAGATGAAAATACACATGTTACATGCATTCAGGGTTTTAACACACATTATGGATAATTACTAGTACTTTTCTCAAGACTTTTACTGGATTTTACTACAGATTTATTATAACAAACACTCAAGATGCAAAAAACTTATTCACAACTAGGTCCATTTTCACACTTTTATACTTTTATCCCAAATCATGGCTTTATATACTTGTCCAGCCATCTGTATAACTCCTAAATATATATTTCTAACCCAAACTTTTCCCTTGAGCTTGATATGTGTATCTAAATACATGAAAGTTGACAGGCAACAGACACAATCAAATCAAAACTCTCTAATTTCCCTCATAAGGCTATTTTTCTAAAAAATAAAGAGAATTATTTAATTATTCAATTATTATTTTGATTTTGAGTATGGGTGTTTTGCCTGTGTGTGTCTGTGCACCATATTCATGCAGAGGCTGGAGTTCCAGATCCGTATCCCACCTGGAACTGGATGGTTGTGCTGGGAGCTGAACCCAGGTCTTCTTCCTCCAGCTCCATGCTTTCCCACTTTTTCTTACCACAGTACATAGCATTTCCATACACCCAATCACTTGAGCAGAAAACATGGGCAATTTTCTTTGATTCTCATCTCCACATTTTTTTTTTTTTTGGTTTTTCAAGACAGGGTTTCTCTGTGTAGCTTTGCGCCTTTCCTGGAACTCGCTTTGGAGACCAGGCTGGCCTCGAACTCACAGAGATCCGCCTGGCTCTGCCTCCCGAGTGCTGGGATTAAAGGCGTGCGCCACCACCGCCTGGCTCATTTCCACATTTAATCCATGAGAAATTAACCTCGCCAGAGACCTAAATTCAAATAGACCTAGAACAAAATCACTTATCCCTGACCCTACCACCACACTCTGTGCTCCCATGCCCTGTTCTCTTGGATAACAATGGTCTTTTGGCATCTATTCTTGGTTCCTTTTTCAAACCCTCAGAGCCTTGCCAAGTCCTGCTTGATATATTGATTACCTGCCTCATGCTCTGCCAGTCTCCCCATTTACTTCATCAATACCGGCTTGGTTGCCAATTTACCAATACACGATTCTCCCCATTTTATCTGTGCCTTTCTCTACCATGCATACATGCACATACCTTCAAAATGTGGGATTGGCTACTGAAATTTCTACAAAGAGAAAGTCTTGCCAAAGTGCAGCTTTACTGTTCTGCTTTGTTCATACTTACTGCTACTACCAGAAACTACGTTAATTATCATAGAAAATGTCAACGAAGACATCTAAGCCCTCTAAGATATCGTAAGATGTTTGAGGGCAGATTTAAGGTTAAAAACATACATGAATGGGTACGTAGTTAACGTCACCTCTTCTAACTGTAAGTTAATGGGTGTGTTTTAACTTGGACATTCTGTATACACTAGTATCACAGTATTAGCCTATGAATAAAACAGATTCCTTTGGCATCTAATTATCTTTGAAGAGACATATTTTTGTTACATTTTTCTATTTCTACTGAAGTTCTGGATAATTAAAACCTTTTCTCCTGCTTTATAAAAAGGTCAGAAAGATGGATTTTATAAGCTGTGTGGCTTTATTTTTAAAAGAGGGCTAAAAATAAGCAACAAGCATGAATAAAATTCCTTTGTTCCTGGGCTTTGTAGGTACATTTGTGTGCCCGTGTATAAAGAATAACATGTACGTGGGTATTGTCCCGCAGGTGCTGTCCACCTGTTTTCCTGTGAGACTCACCAAGTAGGCTCTGCTAGCTAGCAGTCCCCAGGGATTCCCATGTTGTGTCTCCCCAGCACACCTGGCACTGTTCACTTGGTTGATTTGGGTTCCGGGGTCCTCACACGTGCTAGGCAAAAACTTTACTCACTGAGCTGTGCCTGCAGCCCAATCCGGGTTTTTTTGAGTATTAGTATTTGTCGTATCAGGTAGCACAAACCACACGTGGGTCTTCTGGAAGAACCGCAAGCGCTCTGAACTTAGAGCCACGCTTCTAGTCCCAACATTTACCTTCTTGTATCCCACAGCTTGACAATGTTGTCTAAAGAGCCTGAAATGAGCTGCTGTTCGTGGGTGGGAGACCACTTCACTGATGTTACCCAGCCTGTGTGTGAGGTGAGGGACAGTGACACCAAAGACCCGTCTGAATGAAGAGAAAGAAAATGCAATGGATTTTAGGAAAGACAAGCAGAACACACCCAAAGACTATCTGCAGAAACTTATCCTTTTTATTTATTTTTTTAACATTCCTCACTGTTACCTTTAGTTCGGGGATCCCACAGTCTAATATGCCTATCTGTGCTTCCAGATGCCAAACGTTTACAAAGGGGAGAATAGGAAATACAATTAAACACTTTATTTCCTGTCTGAAAATAAAAGGAAAGAACATTTAACCAGAAGGCTAAAAGTAACCACCTTTAGAAATGTATTACTGAAAAAAACGAACGTTGATCGGAGGAACACCACAGTCTTACCAGAGTTGACTTAAGACCACCAGATTCAACATCCCACACTCTAATTGTGTGATCCCAAGACGCACTGCAGATTTCTTCAGCATCTGACCAAAGTACTGAGGAAACTGCTTCTGTGTGGCCAGAGAGGGTCACCAAGGGAGTCTAGAAATGAAAGGTCCCAAAAAGGGAAAAACATTCTCACCACAGAGTATCTAAAACGAGTAGATTTTAGGGTCGGGGTGGTGGCGCACACCTTTATGCTAGCACTCAGGAGGCAGAGCCAGGCGGGTCTCTGGGTTCCAGGCCAGCCAGGGACACATTATGATACTCTGTCAAAATAAAAGAGTAGATGTTAATGTCCAAAGTAGCTATGCCAGACTTTTTGCCCAGTGGATTATTTTGTCTTTATAGTAATCCTCCAACATAGATGTTTCTGTCTTTATTTTATACGTGAAGGGGCTCAGTGGACAAAATGTCAGCTGTCAAGGCTGATGACAAGTTTAATCCAGGGACCCAGATGGTGGAAGGAGAACCAATTTCCGTAAGCTGTCCTCTGACCTCACACACATGCCATCACACACACACACACACACACACACACACACACACACACACACACACACACACATACACACACCCCACATAAATGAAAAGTTAAAAAAAAGTCTTAAAACCACTGGTTTCTCCATCTAAACAAGCTAAAAGTATGAACCAGGGATTTCACAATTCAATACCAAAGTGCTAACTAGGGCTTACATTATATTCTACTGTATATAAACAAAAGTACAGTGTTCCATAAGTTTTTCTGTTTGTTTGTCTAGCCAAGGGTGGCTCTTAACTATGTAACTGAAGTTAGCCATGAACTCGCAGTCCTCCTGCCTCTCCCTCCCTAACGCTGGGATTACAGGCATGTGAGAGCATCCCCGGCTCTAAATGATGTAGCTAGTGTTCTTCATTGCTGGGCCATTTCTCCAGTCCCATCGGACCTTCAACAGTTTTTATGTTTATGATGAATATAATCACTAACGCATGGTCACGTGCTCAGTGGCACCGCTGACTCAGCATCTCCCTTTCCTTTAAATACAAGAGGTTAGATCACATGACAAACACCTTTGTAACAGAGCAGGATCGAAGTCAGGCTCATGAAAGCAGACAGTAGAATAGCCATTGCCAGACTTGGTAGAAGGGGAAAATATCAGTTAAAGCACAAACTTCCAGTCACAAGATGAAGAAAACTGAAGATCTAATGGATGGTGATGGCCACATTAATTTGAACATGATAACCATTACGGATAAGTGTATCTAATTATGTCAAATATATCCAATCACTGTTTGTCGGTTAGATTTAAGGTTGGAAAAAAAAAGAAAAAGAAAAAGCCAGGTATAGTGATGCATACTTGAATCCCAGCAATCAGGAAGCTGAAGAACTCCTGAAAATTTGAGACCAGTGCAAGTCGGTGAGTTCCAAACCCACCTAAGCTATCCAGCAAGATTCTGTCTCACACTAAACAAACTTTGTTTAATAAGACCTAACTGCTAAACGACAGAATTAAACTCCATATTAATGATTTCTAGTGTTTCAGGTTATAAGTGAAAACACTTAGTAGCTCTAAAGTGAATTTTATCTTCAGTATATGAAATAGCATTAAACAGTCAGATAATTACTGTCAAACAAGAGTTAATGATTAAAATGTACCACGACAGTCCTACCACTCAGTAAGATTGATTCATGTTATACTATCCGAAGCCTCAGAAAAATGTAGCAACAGTACTACAAAAAGAAAGCATAATCATGGCTGAAGCAACAAGACAGTAGAGAACATAAACAAAAAAAGGGGGGAGGGGGGCCCTGGAGAGCTGGCTCAGCAGCAGTTAAGAGCACTGACTGCTCTTCAGAGGACCCAGGTTCAATTCCCAGCAACTACATGGTGGCTCACAACTGTCCTGGGGGCATGACACCATTATACAGACACACACAGACAAAATACCAATGCACATAAAATAAAAATAATTAATTAAAAAAGACTGCTGAATTATCATACTTTCATCAAACAGACCAAAGCCAAAGTCAGTCAATTCTCACAACTATTTACCGTTTAATAGACAGAGACAATTACCGAAAATGACAACCAGTCAAATGAAGACAATAACTGATAGGGTGCCCAGCCCCAGTGGATACACCCACAACTCCTACACCTAAGGCTCAGGGAACACTGCAGAAGAGAGGATAAAAAGACTGTCAAGAGCCCGAGGACCAGGAAATATGCTGTGAGACTGTCTCTCTTAAAAGCGACAAGGAAGCTCCATCGATGACGGCCTCAACAATATGGCTGCCTAAATAAGACCTGAACAAGGAAGGACACTATCAATAGCCATGCTAGCGTGGAAGGTGGAAATCTCACGGGGCCTCTCCCCCAGACAAAGAACTACAGGCAACTAAGGACTGCTGAGAGTAAGAGAAGTATTCTCTTTCAGAGATGAGCTCCAAATTGGCTATCCAGTACCAAGTGGTCAGCTCGGGAATCATATATACACAAGAAACAGTAAAGGGTTCAGCAGGTTATATTTATAATATTTATGCATTTATACACATATACCTAGCAATAACAAAGAAAGAGAGGCCAGAATTTGGGGGATGTATACATGGAAGGAGTTGGAGAAGGGAGAAAACGATGTGATTAGATAGATAGATATAGATTTATTATGTGCAGTGTTCCGCCTGCATGTATGCCTGCAGGCCAGAAGAGGGCACCAGACCTCATTAAGATGGCTGTGAGCCACCATGTGGTTGCTGGGAACTGAACTCAGGATCTCTGAAAGAGCAGCCAGTGAGTGCTCTTAACCTCTGAGCCATCTCTCTGGCCCTGATGTGATTATATTTTAATTAAAACAAAAACATAAACAAACTTACCCTTGTTAGTCCCAATTGCTCTGTTTTTTGCTTCTTTCTTGGCCGATTTGTGGATTCTTCTACTTCATCTTCTTCATCTGTAGGGACTACATCATAGAGAAATATTGAAAAATTTAGTAACTATTAATGGCAAACTACAAGAATGTCTGATATTCTGGTATACAGTTTTCTTTCTTTTTTCAGTTATTAGGTAATGTATATTCCTTGTTATTTTGGTTAACACAAAATTGTATATAAAAATCATATCTGACCACTAGAGTATTGCAATTCAGTGTAAAGTACCTGAGACTCAACCCTTTGTAGTAGCAAAAGGAAGAACATTTCCTGGATTGGCAATCAAACACAGACAAGGACTTTTTGTTGTTGTTATTTTGGTTTTTTGAGACAGGGTTTCTCTGTGTAGTTTTCTGCCTGTCCTGGATCTCGCTCTGTAGACCAGGCTGGCCTCGAACTCACAGAGATCCACCTGGCTCTGCCTCCCAAGTGCTAGGACTAAAGGCGTGCACCACCACTGCCCAGCAGTCTGGGGATTTTTTAGAACTGGTTTATAGATGGTTGTGGGCCACCATGTGGTTACTGGGAATTGAACTCAGGACCTCTGGAAGAGCAGCCAGTGCTCTTAACTGCTGAGCCATCTCTCCAGCCCAAGCATTTTTATAACATTTATTAATACGTATATTTTATGCTGTATTACACATATTATTTAAGTTGCTTAAACTGGTTCTGAGCACATTAACTATTTTGTCAGCTGTAATTGGGGTCTGAACTGTGAACAGCAATTCCATCAGAAGTAGTAGGGTCTTCTGACCTTTTTACATACGCAGAAATAATTCCAGCTGTTAGGTTTCAAAATTTAAGAATTTGTGTGGGTCCCCTCCTGTCTTTTGTTTCCATCAGCACCCCTAACTTCTTTAGAGAATCTGTCCTCTCCTTCGACTGTGTGTTTTAATCTGTATTTTCAAAGTAAGCTAGGTATGGTGGTGCATGATTATAATCCCAACATTTGGGATGCAGAGGCAGGAGGATCACAAGTTTGAAGCCAGGATGGTCTATACAGCCAGTGCCAGGCTCCAGGATAGTGTGGGATATATAAAGACCCTGCCTCAAAAAAACATTTTTTAAAGACATTTTCATGTGTATGCATTTATGTGTGTGTACCATGTGTGCCTAGTGCCCAGGAGAAGGTGTCAGATCCCCTGAGACTCGAACTGAGGACGGCTGTGAGCTTGAGTGCTTGAACTAATCTGGGTCCTCTGCAAGAGCAGCAAGTACGCTTAATCACTGAGTCATCTCTCCAGTCACTCAAAACTTATTTTTAAGTGACTTAAAATGAGTCAAAATTATTCAAAAACAATTTCCAGGGTTTTTAATTAAATGCACTCTGAGATCTAAGACAATTTGTTATACATGTAACAAATCAGTGACTGTCAAATGAAGAGGTGGTAGGGTTAAAAAAGAACCAAAAAACTGAAAACAAAAATGTACTAATTTGTCTTCATACTACACTTTTTTTTGGTGGGGGGGTTGAGATAGGGTTTCTCTGTGTAGCTTTGGAGCCTGTCCTGGATCTTCCTCTGTAGCCCAGGCTGGCCTTGAATTCACAGAGATTCACCTGCCTCTGTCTCCTAGCTCTGGGATTAAAGGCGTGCACCACCACCGCCCAGCTACACTTCTTTTTGTACATACTAAAACACATTAGTCTCTTTTTACAGCAAGTATGAGAAATAAAAGTCTCTCACTAAAATTCTAGAAACAAGATTAATAAGTCAAAATACAAAAAAGTATTGATACCTGTAGACCAGATCTTCAGCATCTTATCCCAGGAGCCGCTGCAGAACTAGACACACACGAAGGAGAAAGCATAGGTAATGACTGACATCATCTGCCCCGCCCACTCTTACTTTCAAAGTTTTCTCTGCTTGCTTCACTTCTCGGTGCACAGGCTCTGTAATCTTTACTACTGGATAATCACATACTCGGCTTCCCAGTCTTCTGGAAGCTGTAGCCTTGATCTCCATGGCAACCAGCTGCCGTTCCTATATGCACCTGTGTCCTGCACAGCTGCTTAGCTCAAAGTGGGAAAGTAAGCTAGACTACACTAATAGGTCTACTACACTAATAGGTCTGTTCTGCTTCTAGAACCTTTACAATAAACCTGAGAAATGAAGTTAGACTTTCCTAGGGGAAACAAAATAGATTTTCCCCCCGAAGGGACAAATAGTACAGGATAAAACTAGGAAGTATTTCATGTAGAGAAAACCAGTATACGGTTCAAAATGAACCAAAGTGACTTGGGAACAGAGAAGGTTGGGGTATGTCAGCTACATTTAGCCTCCATTCCAGAGACTTCCTGAGGCCCAAATGTATCATCACCTTCTTGTTCTGGCTCGTTCATTCTTTCTTTGGCTATCACAATCAAATTTTCTCTTGAGTTTTAACACACTGAAGATGTTTCTGCTCATGTATAAGCAAAATATAGTCTAAATTCCCAGCCAAAAGACAAGAAAGGTTAATTCATCTAAATCTGTACTCAATAACATATAAACTTTCTGTGACTCAAGATAAGTCATAAACCTTTATCTCTACTGAGTACATCAAACATTCTGTGTTACTCCAAGTTGCAGAACATTCTTAAATCTGGAATTCTCCAATGCAGCAAAGGGAACTTTCTCAGACTAAGAGGGTTTGCAAACCTTCATAAGTCAATGAAGTTATCACTTTCTGGTTTGTATCCATTTTGTTGTAACAAAGAACAGGCCAGGCTGGGCATGGTGGCTCATGCCTGTAATCCCAGTACTTAGAGGAGGCAGAAGCAGGCCGATCAACAGGGACATAAGGCCAGACTGGACTGCACAGGGAGAATTCCAGGGCAACCTGGGCTACAGTGAGAACCTGCATCAAAAAACAAAAATAAGGGACTGAGGATTTAGTTCCAGTGCAAGTACAAGCTGCATGTCAGCACTGATGGTGAAACACTGTTAACATTAGCCTTCGTGTACTAAGGCCTGGGTGTCACTTAAGACATTTAATGATGACAGCACTTTAAGAGAACCTGATGAACTGAAAACACTGTCAATTACTATCGTTTAAGGTTATCTTTACTTGTTCTCTCTCTCTCTCTCTCTCTCTCTCTCTCTCTCTCTCTCTCTCTCTGGGGGGGTGGTGTTTCAGGGTTTCTCTAGAACTATCCTAGAACTCACCCTGTAGACCAGGCTGGCCTCAAACTCAAGAGATCGGCCTGCCACTGCCTCTCAAACACTGGGACTAAAGGCGTGTGCCACCACTGCCCGGCTTAATCCAATTTTTAATCATTTTTAGCCTCTGATTGTTATGGAAGTTACAACCATTAGGAACATATCTATAGAGTATGTTTACTCAGTTGCTGAAATTCTAACTCAACACAACAGTGGCCACACTGTTCTAACAGGGACCACTCACTTTGGTTCCTGAGCTGTCGACTGCTATGGAGTCCACACTCCCAGCATGACCTCTGCAGCAGTGGAGAGCTTTGACTTTGTTCTTCTCCACGTTCCATTCCCATAAGAGGACAGTCTGGTCCATTGAGGCACTCAGGAGTAAGCAGGACAAATTGTCTGAAGAAAAGAGAAAACGAGAAACACAGTACAAAAATCTTAACTGCATCTTTTCTATCAGTCAGTATTTTTGTAACTGTTTTAATAATAATTAAGATGGGCTACTTTTAAAAGAGAGCTATCATGGTAAAAAGGAAAAATTCTTAAACCAAGGCTAGTAGTGTGCACCTGTAATTCCAGTCAGGAGGCTGAGGCAGAAGGGGGACAGGTTGAGGCCAGCCTAGGCTACACTGTGACCACCCCAGCCCCACCCCATGCTGTCACCAAAAAGAGAAGACTCTTTGAAAACAGGAAAAATGAGTTCAATGTACTTACTAACTTGAAAATGTACAGATAATTAGTAAAGACTTCCTCCTTAAATTTATAGACTTAGAGCTAGGTATATGGCTCAGTGGCAGTGTGCTTGCCCAGCGTGCACAAAATCCTGAGTTCAGTCTCCAGGACCGGGGGGAACGAACAGCAATCTATGGATTTTAAAAATACTAATTCTTGCCGGGCGGTGGTGGCGCACGCCTTTAATCCCAGCACTCGGGAGGCAGAGCCAGGCGGATCTCTGTGAGTTCGAGGCCAGCCTGGGCTACCAAGTGAGTTTCAGGAAAGGCGCAAAGCTACACAGAGAAACCCTGTCTCGAAAAACCAAAAAAAAAAAAAAAAAAAAAAAAAAATACTAATTCTTGCCAGTTGGTGGTGCACACACCTTTAATCCCAGCCCTCGGGAGGCAAGTGGATCTCTGTGAGTTCGAGGCCAGCCTGGTTTACAGAGTGAGTTCCAGGACAGCCAGGCAGCCAGGGCTACACAGAGAAACCTTGTTTCAAAAAACATATATATTTATCTTTCCCTTTTAGTACTGTGTTTCTGAAACCTAGCAACTGAGCCACGAAACATTTTCACCCAATCATTCTTTTGCTAGACTAAAATTAGTTCAGTTTTAGACTCTTAAGATTCCTCTTAAGTAGACTCTTACCTTTTTTCACCCAAGCCACATCTTTCACAACATCTGTATGTCCTGCAATAGTCATTATTGACTTTCCTTCCAAGGACCAGATCCGAGATGTCTTATCGTAAGAACCAGACAGGATCCTACAATGGGAAAAAATGCTATGAAATACAAAAAGATGACTTTCGTAGGCCTGAAAATTAGTTGTTTCTATGGCAATGGCAAAGTAAACTTGGGGAAGAAACTCTTCTTTAATACGAAGAACAAGATTTCAAAGCATAACAGCTCAGATGTTATACTAATTTTCTGAACCACTAAAACAATGTGAGATTTCACTTTTATTGTTGCATATGATATAAATTTCACCAAAGCAATACACACTGCTTGTAAAGCCTAACATTCCTTAATTAACCACTAAAAACTATTCAAGAGAACAACAGAGATGAGATGTAGCTCAGTGGTCAGCACTTGCCCAGCAAGCAGAAGCCTCTCGATCTGCACCGATGTCCAGCACCACACACACACACAAAGACACACACACACACACACACACACACACACACACAATACCAAAGCAAAAAGGAAAATCACGAAGAACAAAAGAAAAACAAAGCCAGGCATGGTGGCACACCTTTAATAACAACATCTGGGAGACAGAAGCAGGAGGATCTCTGAGTCTGAGGCCTACATAAGAAGTTCCAGGACAGCCAGGACTACATAGAGACACATTGTCTTAAAAAAAAAAAAAAAAAAAAAAATCTAACTTTATATAATAATTCCAAGTTCTTTTCAGGATGACAAGATGGTAAAGCACCTGCTGCAAAGCCCAGGGACTTGAGTTCAGTCCCCGGAACCATGTGAAGGTGGAAGGCGAGAACCAACTTCACAGAGTGGTCTTCTGACTGCCACACTTTTTATACACATGTGCAATGGCGCACACCCCCCCCCCCAAACAAAACACATAATAATAAAAATAAAATGGCCCCCAAAAGGAAAGACAGAAGTAAGCTACCCCCATCAACTCCTAAGATGTTTTTTCTATAAGTACAGCCAGTTAGGAGCATGATCAGTAGTAGGCATGTGCTTTAAGACAGTGGTTCTCAACCCAGGGTCGAGAGCCCTTAAGGAGGGGGTCGCATATCAGATATTTACATTATGATTCAAAACAGTAACAAAATTAGTTATGAAGTAGCAATGAAATAATCTTCTCACAACATGAGAAACTGTATGAAAGGGTCGCAGCATGAGGAAGAATGAGAATCACTGTAGTAAGACATCCATACCTCCTTGACTCCAGGCTGCCCATGTTAGCCCTACAATAGCATGACTGCATCTTCATGGTAGTGGGTGGGGAGATCTGGGGCCATAATATTAATTTTTCTCCTCTATGAGGCAATGTTATCTCTGGTCTTAAATATCAATGACTGCTGACTTACATAGAATACAAATATCACAACATTTTCAAACAAAGAAACCCTAATAATAAACACTTGTTTCTTCTTGACTATACTGACTGTAAAAGCCTATTTGGTAAGGTCACTGGTAATCACTACACGAAGTTGCTTTAACAAAGCAAAGGCATCAGAGAGAGACAGTCCCACTGTGGAGGCACGTAAGAAACAAAAGTACACGCCATGCATACCACTCTTCTGCCCCTTCAATCGAGCTGATCCAGTCATCATGGAACATGCACTGCTCTGGCTGGGGCGCGGTGTATTTCTCCACGTATTCTAGTTCCACAACCTCTTCCTAGTCACACAGAGAACAGAAAATAAACCAGTTTGTGGTTTTTTTGTTTGTTTTTTGTTTTTCGAGATAGGGTTTCTCTGTGTAGCTTTCGAGCCTGTTCTGGAACATGTTCTGTAGACCAGGCTGGCCTCAAACTCACAGACATCCACCTGCCTCTGCCTCCTGAGTGCTGGGATTAAAGGTGTGTACCACCACTTCCCGGCTGAGGGGACAGCTTTTAAATGTTACTTTGAAGGAAGAAAATTTTGGAGCCATTTAAAAAGTCAAGAGTTTTCGTTTGGCCTCACATTAAGCTAAGAATATGAACTTATATTAAAAGTGGGAATAAAAAGATATTTTTAAAAAGTTATTCAGTTTTATTTTAAATTATGTGTATATGTGTGGGCTTGTGCACACGAGTGTGGGTGGAGGCTAGAGGCATGGAATCCCTCTGGAGCTGGAATCACAGGCAGTTGGCAGTTGCCCAATGTGGGTACTGGGAACTGAACTCAGGTCCTCAGGAAGAGCAGCAAGCATTCTCAACCACTGAACCTTCTCTCTAACCCCTACAAGAAAGCTTCTATGTTAAAAACAAAATTAGATAAGCAGAAAGATCATACAAGCATACTTTTCTTTCAGGATGATGAAAGAGTTCTGGAAATGGGAGCGGTGACAGTTGCACAGTGCTGTACTTCATATTACTGAACTGCACACTTGAGAACAGCTAACATGTTGAGTTTGCTCTTACATATATTTCATCATAGTATTTTAAAATCACGAAATATAGGGGAAATTACAAATTATATTCTAAACAATTTTATTACATTTACTTATTGTGTGTGTACATCCATGTATTCCACAGTGTACATGGAGGTCGAAGAACCAACTTGTGGGAGTTGGTTCTCTACTTCTACTGTGGCGGTCATAGGGATGAACTCAGGTCATCAGGCTTCGTGGCCAGCACCTTTACTCAGTCAGCCATCTTGCTGACTCCAAATAATCCTTTTTTCCCCAGGCAGGGTCTCACTATATAACCATGGTTAGCCTAGAACTCCCAGTCTCCCATTGACTGCCCTCCAGCCTTCACATGCAGGCTGTGCACGCACCTACACATACTATATAATAATAAATAAGTGAACATAACTTTAGAATGTTTTCTAAGACTCCCAAAGAAAGTCAAAAGGTCAGGCAGTGGTGGTGCACACCTTTAATTTCAGCATTTGGGAGGCAGAGGCAGGTGGATCTCTGAGTTTGAGGCCAGTCTGATCTACAGAGTGAGTTCCAGGACAGCCAGGGCTACACGGAGAAGCCCTGTCTTGGAAAACAAAAACAAAAAAGGGCAAAAACCTTGGGTGTTGAAATCAATTTAGGCTGATTCTATAAGCAGTTACTCTAGTAATGTATTATATCAAACATAAGCAGTACTTGGACTTACCGATGAAATGTTTTCCAGTTCCATGTGTTTGACCAAGGGCATTCGAAGAAACTGGCCCTTGATAAGGAAATCGAACTCGACATATTTGTGGAGCTCTGCAAAACAGGAAGGGTCTTAATAATATCAGTGCCATATGAATGAGAACCCTGCAGCAATCACGTCTCAAGTACCCACTGCTGCCCCAGTTGCTCTGGAACTTCTCATACTGAATGGTTTTGGTTTTTTGAGACAGGGTCTTTGTCCTGGAACTCACTATGCAGACCAGGCTAGCCTTGAACTCACAGAGGTCCACCTGACTCTGCCTTCTGAGTGCTGGGATCAGAGGTGTGCGCCACCATGACACTCGGCTACACGATTTCTAAAGAACCAATATACTTTGTTCTGTTTATTACGCTTGGTTTTACGGTGGTGTAATGACTTTAGGGGCCAGGGGTTGAGACAGGTTATATGTACGCCCAGCACATGTTCTACCACTGAGCTAACTACACCCTACTAATCTTGTCTTTTGTTTTGAAAGAGTGGTTTATTGAGTAGACAAAAGAGAGCAACAGGCTGGACAGTAGCTCGAATACCACCTGAAGCCTATCACCTCATTTTCAAAAGCTTTTGTTCTACAGAAAATGTACAACATACACAAAAGTATAAACAACAGTGAACACCCACACCCTACTCCAATACAAGAGTTTGTGAAGAATCATTTATTTCTATTCCTGTCTCCATTCTCTTGCTAGCTTCTTCTAAAGCAACCTCAGAAACCATACCATTTCATGTGTAAATGGCTTTATTGTACATCTCTAAAATCTAAGGAATTAAAACATAATGTTAAAATATTAACTATGCTACTATCATATACTTAGTCATTATTCATGTTTTTTTTTTTTTTTAAATTAATTTAACTTCTATTTTGAAACTGGGTCCTACTGTGTAGCCCACACTGGCTTCAAAAATCACTATATAACCCAGGCTAGCCTCCAGAGGCTAGACAGATAGAGGTCTATCTCTGACTCATCGTCTCGGTCTCTAAACTACTGGAATTGCAGGTGTGTCCCATCATGCACAGCTGCTCATATTTTAGAGCAAACATTTTAAAGCTGGCACCTAACTGGTTAATGTGTCCCTTCAATCTTTAAAAGGCCCCTAAAAGGCACCTCCTTTTTCTTGTCATTTCTTCATTGAGGAAAATGTGTCAACTATCTTATTTCCTACATTCTGGGCTTGCTTAATTACATCTCCAAAGTGTCTTTTTTTTAAATTTTTATTATTGTCTTGTGTATGTATGCAAGTGTGTGTGGGCATGTGTACCATGGTACCCATGTGGAGGTCAGAAGACAACTTGTGGAGTTGGGTCTCTCCACTTTTATTTGGGTCGTGAGGATTAAACTCAGGTCACCAGGCTTGCACCATTGGAGAGCAAGCACCTTCAGCTAGCTGAGCTATGTCACGGCCCTACAGAGTATCTTTTAATACGTTCCTCTATCCTCTACTATATCCTGTTAATCAGTGAGCCTTCAATGGTTAAGACTTCAGGCTGCCTCACATCAACATGCATGCATTAACTAGTTGTGTGTTCTTTTTTCGCATATGTGTGTGAGCACGTGTGTGTGAGCACATGTGCGTGCATGAGTGTAGAAGTTCAAGGCTGATGTTGAATGTCTTCCTGGCTCATTTGCCACCTTAAATATTAAGGCAAGGTCTCACTGAACCCACAGCTTGAAGTTTCGCTGTCTGGCTGGCCAGCTTGCTCTGGAGTCCCCCACCTCTGTTTCCAGTGTGCTAAGATGGCAGGCAGCTAACCACCCCAACCTTCCTTTATGTGGGGGTTAGAGATCTGAACGCTGGCTTCGTGCGTCCACACAAACACCTACTCACCAAGCCAACTCTCCAGCCCTTATTTTTTTTCTTATAACTTATTTATTTTTATTTTGTGAGCATTGGTGTTTACCAGCATGTATGTCTTTGTGAGGGTGATGGATCCTAAGTTACAGACAGTTGTGAGCAGAGGCAGGTGAATGTCTGAGTTTGAGGCCAACCTGGTCTACACAGCCATAATTACCCTGTCAAAGAAAAACAAACAAAAACAAACAACAAACATATTTATGTGTAGCTGGGTGCTGTACCCTCTCCTATCTCCTTGGAGCATATACACCTACCATTTTTGGTCTCCAGCAATTTATTGATGATGTTACTAAGGTCAGCAACTTCAGAGGTGGCAGGGATTGAGAAAGGAACATCATCTACTGAATATCTGTAAGAGGGAAGTGATATATTAGTATTATGTCTATACATTTTGGCAAATCTGCATTTACTCACTCAACAACTATTCACTGAGCACATCATCTCAGACACTCGCTACATGGCATAAACAAAATGAGGTGAAATGTCTTTATTCCTTTTTTTAACAGAAGAACTGTTTTCTTTTTTTTTCTTTTTTCTTATTCATTTTACATACCAACAACAGATCCCCCTCTCATCCCTCCTCCCACCCCCCACCCCCCCCCCACCCCCCCGCCTTCCCCCATCCCCTCACCCAATGTCTTTATTCTTAAAAGAATCAAGCACAATGAAGCCATGTGAACACAGTGTCATAAATGGTGAGACTATCAGAAATGAGTCACGAGCAGTGGTGGCGCACGCCTTTAATCCCAGCACTCGGGAGGCAGAGGCAGGTGGATCTCTGTGAGTTCGAGGCCAGCCTGGTCTACAGAGTGAGTTCCAGGACAGGCACCAAAACTACACAGAGAAACCCTGTCTCAAAAAAACCAAAAAAAGAAAAAAAGAAAAAAAAGGAATAAGTCACTTCAACCAGAGAAAAGGGGTATGAGTGCAGGACCCAAAAGAACGCAGCTACGAAAAGTGACGTTGGCCAGATAAGGGAGGGACGGCCTGGAAATGAGACCGTGGGAAAGTAAGGACAGCAGACCAAAGGAACTTGCTCCTATTTCAGGCCCTGATTTTCCTCTAGGCAGTGTTCAGAGATAAGCCTAATGACACACGGAGTGTTTTAGGTCCCATATACTATGAAATAGTTTTTAATTCTTTGTGTAGGCAACAAGGAACCACTGTAGCAGTCCAAGTTCAAGAATAACAGCAGGACTCTGTTTAGACAGATCTTTACAGCTGTGCCACAGACTACATTAGAATAATATATGACTGGAGGCAGAACAGAACCCAAAGAGAGACAAGAAAATATTTGCAAATCATTTATCTGATAAGGAACTTGTATCCACAATATATAAAGAACATTTATATCTCAGTAATAAAAGCGCTTTTAAAAAAAAAAAAAAAAAAAAACGGGCAAGGGATTTGAATAGATAGTTTTCTAGAGAAAGAGCAATGACCAACAGGCACAGGACCAGACCACAGTGAACATCACTTCACACCCATCAGGATGTAACTAAAGCAATGGTGACAATCCAGGGAAAGGAAAACCTCATCCATCGGTGGTGGGAATGCAAAACGGTGCGGTTACTTTGGAAAACAGTGTGCCAGCTGCCCTGAAAGTTAAATGTGGACTTACCATTTGACCCAAGAACGACACTTTCAGGTACACACCAACGAGCAATGAAAACACATGTTCACTGGGCATGGTGGCATGGACTTTTAATCCCAGCATTTGGAGGGCACAGGCACGTGGATCAGTGGTTCTGAGGCCAGCCTTGCCTACACAGTGGGTTCCCAGGCAGCCAGGGCCAAACATGTTCACATGGAAACTGTGCATTAATGCTTGTAGTGGGTAGCCATTCCAGCTTTGATCTGTAAGTTCCAACCCCCATTGAGACTTCGGCAACTGTCACGCCTACAAGGCGGGGCGAAAGGAGGCGCCTGGGGACCCGAGATCTGGATCGGCTGGCGCTCTCTCTGTTGCGGGACCCTGGACTAGAGAGGTGTACCAAGCAGAGCTCCAGAGAACGCCGCTGGACTGCGATACACCTTCCCCAGACTCCGCGACCTACCTATCCCTTAATTTGTAAGTTACGCCATTAAATAAATCTCCTTTTATCTACGTGGAGTGGCCTTAATAATTTCACCAATATCTGGCGCTCACGTGGGGCAAATTCCAAAGGCCTGGGTGGCTCCCACCCTCAGCCTCTTCCCCGGCTAGCGGGTACCTAAACCCGCCTGCAAAGTTCCATATAACCAGGGAACGCCTACAGGGTCCCGCAACAGAGAGAGCGCCAGCCGATCCAGATCTCGGGTCCCCAGGCGCCTCCTTTCGCCCCGCCTTGTAGGCGTGACAGTTGCCGAAGTCTCAATGGGGGTTGGAACTTACAGATCAAAGCTGGAATGGCTACCCACTACAAATGCTTCCACAGCCACTATTCACAACAGCTAAAAGACTGGAACAACCTAAATGTCTTAACTGGACAATAAGAGACAAGGACTGGAGAGATGGCTCAGTGGTTAAGAGCATTGCCTGCTCTTCCAGAGGTCCTAAGTTCAACTCCCAGCAACCACATGGTGGCTCACAACCATCTCTAGTGGGATCTGATGCCCTCGTCTGGCATAAAGTTGTACATGCAGATAAAGCACTCATATACATCAATAAAAATCTTAAAAAAAAGAGAGACAACGAGCCATATAATGGACTATTAGACATAAAATAAGTGAAGTATTAGGGTAGTCTGCCTAATGGTTAAACTATAAAAAACAGTCAGTGAAAGATGCCAGACACAAAAGACCACAAAGTTTGTATAATTTCATTATACAAAATGTCCAGGATGGACACCTACACAGAGATAGATGGTACATAGGTAGGTCGACTTGGATGGGAAGCATTTAAGGGGTTGAGTAGCATCTAAAGAGAGATGAACTTTTTTCTAAAATGGATCATGTAAATGGTTGTACAATTCTACTAATATGATGCACCTGAATCTCACAACACTATATATGTATCACTAGTAAATTTCGATCTGTGACTTATTTATACATAGACACATAAATACACACATATAAATATATACATGCACACAGTCCTGGTTGTTTTATCAACTCAGAAGCTAGTCATCTGAGAAGAGGGAATTTGAATTAAGAAAACACCTCCATTACATTGGCCCATAGGCAAGTCTGTGGAGCATTTTCTGGATCAATGACTGATGTAGGAGGAACCAGTCCACTGTGGGAAGTGCCACCCCTGGGCAGGTGGTCTACAAAGTGAGTTCCAGGACAGCCAGGGCTACAGAGAAACCCTGGACATGGAGAGAGCAAGCTACAGTCCAGCATCCCTCCATGGCTTCTGCTTCAGTTCCTGCCTCAGCTTCCTCTGATGATGACTGTAATCTGTGAGCCAAATAAACCCTTTCCTCCCCCCAAGCTGCTTTTGGTCATAGTGTTTTATCACACTAACTAGAACACATACACCTAGTCAGGTCAGTAACTAAATTGACCTCATACTAATAAAAAAATCAGCTCTAGGAACCCCATATTCAGAGACCCAGCTTCTACAGAGGTTGAGAAAAGCAAACGAAGTCCTGCTTTCAGAAACCATTGAGACACCATTAACAGACAGCCTGTGAACACAAGTGCCAAGCTCGCCCCTCAAATCATGAAAAAGTGTGCACATCATTCAGAAAGCAAACTCAGAGCCCGGTTCCCTCCACACACAAGTCAAATGATAAAGAGCTCACGAAGGTGGGTAGAAAAATGGAGATTCGGGAAGCCATCTAAGACGTGCCCACCGCTTCCAAATGGGATGATGATACAGGGCAGACGTGAGGGGCCGGGAAGGGAGGGCGACTGAAGTCTCTTTTAATTGTTTTTTCTATCCGGCACTCAGGTTATCTTATTTGCATGAAGTCCCTTTAATTCCAGCCAGATACCTGCTAAACTTCTTTCAGCTCTGATTTACTAAAGCCTTGGCTCTTTCTCACTGACTGTCTATTCCCAGACAAGGATTGCCAGTGCCTACAAGGGTCCGAACCGAAGCGGGTCTTAGAACCAGACGGGCTCCGGGAAGGTAAGGGCTGACGCGGACTTACTTCTTGTTCTCCGTGTAGAAACGCGCCTGGAGCTGTGCCATGGCGGGAGGGCACACGCGAGACCTCTCCACGAGAACGTATCTGTTGACAACCAGGGAGCTCTCAATCAGCCGAGTGCGCGGCCAGTGCAGGGGAAGGCAGGCTTCTGCTGCCTTCCTCCGGCTTCCTCAGCTCACACCACGAGGTTCCCTTTCCACAGACGCGCCCAGCCCGCACACATCAACCACCTATCCCGAGATTTAGGAAACATCGATTAGTTAAGCAAAGTCTTCAAAGCAGCCAGTCCCCGACTACGTCTCTGTTTCTTACTCTCTATTTAGATCCGCAATCGATTAGGACGACAGGGAAAAGATTTAATTAGAGTCTTATTATTATTATTTGTTTTTTTAAGGGTGTCCTTAGCCCGGATACTTTAGACTCAGCGCTCAGAGACTACAAACCCCAGAAGGGAGCGCGTTTCAGGCGCTCTGAACACTGGGAGTTGTAGGCTTTATTCATTTATCTCTTCAGCCGCACCGTACTCAGGTTCTCTTATTTGCTCTTAAACTCCCTTCTCTGGCCAGATAGTCCACTTCCTGCTCCTTAACTCTGGGTGACAAAGGTCCCGCCTATTTACTTTTTATGCACAGTCCCAACAACAGCCGGATTCCACGGAGACCACGCGTTCTTACCTCAAGGGGCCGAACGGAAGCATGGGAAAGGAGAACGAATCGGAAAGGGAACTGGGCGACGGTGGCCGAGAAGGGTCCAACCTCCTGAGCCTGTACCGCGCCTCCCGGCGGGGCGCGCGCGCGTGCGCAGTGTGCTGGTCTCCATGGCGGGGCCTCGGAGCCAAGACGAGGTTGAGTAGACTCGTTTTGAATTTTCTCCCTTCTGCTCCGGCGGACTCCCTCCCCCGCCCCCCGTCTCGCGTTGTGGGGGCTCACGGCGGCGGCAGGGTTGGGGCGGGGGGGGAGGGAGCCGGAGGTCTGGCAGAGCCATCTGCCCCCACGGACGGGGACGACGCTCCCGCTCGACCTCCCTTCTCCCTCCTGCCTCCGCCTCCTCCCGTCACCTCCTGACCCTCCCGGGCTGGAGCAACCGCCGCCCCCGCCCCCGCCCGCCGCCCGCCCGCCGCCCGCCGCGGAGGCGTGCTGTCCCGGCGCCCTCGCCGGCCTCGGCTGCGGGTCCTTCACCCTGGTCCCGGGATGGGCCCCGCGGCCGGGGGAAGGCAGGCAGGCAGGCAGGCAGGCTGCAGCAGGCTGCAGCAGGCTGCAGCAGGGCGAGGCTCGGTGCCCCGCGGAGGGTGCTGAGCCCAGGAACGCGCCACCGCCACGGAGCGAGCGGGCTCGCCCGCCCGCCCGCCTGCCCGCCGGAGAGGGGCCTCTCCCCTCCTTTCCCAGTCTGATGTTTGGAAAAGCTTCCTCTGCACCGCTCGCTCCCCTGCTTTCAGACTGTTCTTGTTTTTTTGAATCCTGAAGTTACTCAAAAGGCCTGTCTCGGCCTCCATGGCCCCGATTATGACTCTACTTATTTTCCTGAGTGGAGACTAGATGGGGGATATTTTTAAGATCCCGAGGTCACATTCTAAGGCATTCTCCCGAAAACCTCCCAAGTGGGGTCGGGGGTGGGGGCTCCTCTGAGACAGCAATTGAGAGTCAGGCAGAACTGGATTGCAAAGTGTGTGGGCAGGTGAAAACAACGAAAGCTTTATAGTTGCCTAATATTTAAATCATCTGTAGAAAGTTAGAAGTTATCTAAACAGCTGGAGGCGAGAAACCAATCATTTGTTAAGTGAGCAATGACAGTGAAAGCATGTCGTATTTTCAGTGTATCCACGTTACAGATTTGCATGCCCTGTAACAGGAATGCCTGAATTTGATTCTGCCTGTGCTACTTAACCTCTGTGCCACACTTTGATCAACCATGAGAATTAAATGTCACATGAGAAGCACTCGGTAAATGTTAACTATTGCCCTCGTAAGAGCTAGCAGTACAAATTTTAACTAGAAACTTAACTGACGTAGGTGGAGGCATAAAATGAGAAGAACCTCTGCCCAGGTTCCAGAAAGAAATCACTCGATAAGAGGATAAGTCATTACAGTGCTGAAGATTTACATTAAATAAGATGGGACATCTGAAACTTGAAATTCCTTAGTTGAAGTGTAATTATTGAAATCTTACTGATAGCGTATGATTGATTAAATAGCCTTTTAAACTTTCCTTAATTTGGACTTTATCAAATTAACAGTACTTGAAAGTCAATACATTTTTATCTTAATTTGAATGGAACACTGTGATTAGGAAGATGCAGAGCTGGAATTACTCAAGGAAAGATGTCAATTTGCAAGGCAGAAATCTTGAATTCATTAAAAGATGTTTTTATTTGGCTAAGATGTTTATTTAAGAAAAATTAGGTTTTGCAAAATTCAGAATACCCCGCATGATTTTTTTTTTTTCCCAACAGTGACTTAGATGTCTTTCTCTGGTGTTGCTTCCCGGCAGTGCCCAGATAGCTAATGCTTTTGAGTCTTGGTTTCTTTAAGTTTAGTTAATATGTGCTGCAAACCTTTGGGATTCATTTACTGTGGTCCTCAGGAATACTCACTATTATCTGGAGAACCCCCACCATGAAAAAATATTTCTTTTTGTTACAGTCTTTTGTTTTGTTTTGAGACAGGGTCTCTCTGTGTAGTCCAGGATGGATTTGAATTCACTGTGTTTCCCCAGATTAGCTTTGAACTTGACATTTCCTGCCTCTACTCCCTGAATACTGGAATTATACATGCCTGCTACCACATTTGGCCATTGCTTGCTTTGAACCTGAATTTAAAGTTCTGGAATTAGTCTCAAGGTTTTACGAGTTCCAGGCAACCACTGCTGAGCTACATCGTAGCCCAAGGCTGGGATCGTAAGAGAATGACTGTAATTCCCTTTTATCTGTAGTTTTGTGTTCCCCCCTTCAGTTACCTGCTGTCCATATCAAATGGAAATCCTATAAATAATTCATGAGTTTTAGGTTGAATGTCTTTCTCAGTAACATATGTCTTGTCTGAGATATCACATCCAGGGAGAGTACCCACTCTATTGCCCACCCATTGGTAATAGTAACCTTTGTGGTTAAGTCAGTATCACAGTCTTTGTGGTACAGTAAGTGCAAAAGTGGTAACAGTAGCAACTCACAGGTGCCAGAGAGACGTTTTGAAGTGCTCTAAGCAAAGTGGAATTTTTAATTTGGGAAGAAAAGCTGTAGGCTAGTTTAGTAACATGGACAGTCCACAAAGAGCACATCGCGGAAGTTTTACTATAGTATATTGTTACAACTTGTTTTTAATCTCCCTGCTTAGTTCTAAGTTAACCATTGTTGGTTTGTACTCACTTTAGGAATCCTTGATTTCAGGTATTCCTATGAGCTCAGATTGTGTCCCCCAAGAATAAGAGGGCGGGGCACCACTGTGCTCCCCTTACCTTTAAACAGATAATAAAATCACTTTGGAATCAGTGTAAAATTAAATTAAGTGTTTTTTAAGCTCTCACAAAGAGCAAAGAAATAAAAGGGTATGTGTGTGCAGGGTAAGAACTGTAGAAATCAAGATTATAAACGTTTTTAGGGAAGACAAACCTTAAGTAAGAATTGTTATAAACACAATCCTTCACTTTTCTACTAAAAAGTAAAAAGTTTAAGTTGGATCTGCCTGCCCCTGCCTCTTTAATGCTGAGATTAAAGACAGGCACCACCACACCTGGCTTAAGATGATTAGTTTTAAAGGATATATTTTAATCCATAAAGGTTATGGGGGAAATACAAGATTGATGGTGACAGTTTTCCAGGAAGTACACCTGAGAAATTACACTTAAATCTTTGAACACATAAATTTGCTGTTGAACAAAATCAAACATCCATATCCCAAGTAATGCTGTTTATAGAGAAGAATCTGTGTCTTGACTAATCTCTAGCCTTCTGCCATGCATCCCCATGTGTAAACAGACAGCCTTTCTAAAGTAAAAACACAGAAATGATAACTTGACAGTTTCTGCCAAACCTTTATTTTTAAAAAAGATTTTGAGGCCGGGCGGTGGTGGCGCACGCCTTTAATCCCAGCACTCGGGAGGCAGAGCCAGGCGGATCTCTGTGAGTTCGAGGCCAGCCTGGGCTACCAAGTGAGTTCCAGGAAAGGCACAAAGCTACACAGAGAAACCCTGCCTCGAAAAACCAAAAAAAAAAAAAAAAGATTTTGATGTTTCGTGATTTGTATATATGATGTGTGTGTGTCTTGTTTGTGGTTTATGTACATGAGTGCAGTCCCCACAGAGGCCAGAAGAGGGTGTGACATCCCCTGGGGCTAGGGTACTGGGAGCCACTTCCCATGGGTGTTGGGAGCTGAACTCGGGTCCTCCGCTTCTTTCTTGCTGTTCCCCAGTCCTGGTACTTCCTGCTTACAAGGTACATCTGTCAGCTCTAGCATTGGAGGATGTAGATATGGAAACTTTTTATTTTAAAGCTTCTTGCGGCTCCCAAAGATGCTCTACTGGTAATTATTTTCATTGAGGGAAAAGAGTATGTGGCTACAGAAATCTTTCTTTCAGCGATAATTATAGACCATTGGGCTTGAAATAAACATCGAATGGTTAGATAAAGAAGCAGGACAAGGGTTAAGTCACCTGTTCTAGGACACAAGTGGTAGTCACACTTCAGCTCTTTTCAACTGAGTAGACTAAGGTCCTACCACATTAGCCTGGTAATAAATGAAATGTGTACAGTGAAATTCAGCATTTTATTTGTGTGTAGAAGAGTAAAATATCCACTGACTACCGTTTCCTTACAGAAACCATGCTGCCATGAAGACGTAGGTACAGCTTTCACATGAACACAGCTGGCACTATTATAATTTCGTGCTCCAAAGGAAGACTGTCCGAGAACACAAAAGGACGTTTCTGAGGCCAAAGAATGTAGGAACCTGAACTGGAAACCTGAGCTACTGCCTGAAGGTAATAATGTTTTTAAACTTTGTTTAAGGACAGGCGCCAAAATGACACAGAGAAACCCTGTCTCGAAAAACCAAAACAAAAAAACAAAAACAACAAACAAAAAACAACACTTTGTTTCTTTAAAATTCATCTGTTGTCTTTTTGTTTTTTAAATTTTTATGTTTTAACAAAGTAAATTACCAAATCCACCCCCATTCCCATCCCTCCATCCCAGTTCTCACCCCATTCCCATCCTCCATTCCAGTCTCACCCCATTCCCATCCTCCCTTCCAGTTTCTCACCTCGTACCCATCCCTCCATTCCAGTCTCACCCCATTCCCATCCTTCCATTCCAGTCTCACCCCATTCCCATCCTCCATTCCAGTCTCACCCCATTCCCATCCTCCATTCTAGTTCTCACCCCCATTCCCATCCTCCATTCCAATTCTCACCCCATTCCCATCCCCCTCCATTCCAGTTTCTCACCCCATTCCCATCCCCCTCCATTCCAGTTTCTCACCCCATTCCCATCCTCCATTCCAGTTCTCACCCCATTCCCATCCCCCTCCATCCCTGTTTCTCACCCCATTCCCATCCCCCCATTCCAGTTCTCACCCCATTCCCATCCCCCTCCATTCCAGTTTCTCACCCCATTCCCATCCTCCATTCCAGTCTCACCCCATTCCCATCCTCCATTCCAGTCTCACCCCATTCCCATCCTCCATTCTAGTTCTCACCCCCACTCCCATCCCCCCATTCCACTTCTCAACCCCATTCCCATCCTCCATTCCAGTCTCACCCCATTCCCATCCCTCCATTCCAGTCTCACCCCATTCCCATCCTCCATTCCAGTCTCACCCCATTCCCATCCCTCCATCCCAGTTTCTCACCCCATTCCCATCCCTCCATCCCAGTTTCTCACCCCATTCCCATCCCTCCATCCCAGTTTCTCACCCCATTCCCATCCCTCCATCCCAGTTTCTCACCCCATTCCCATCCCTCCATTCCAGTCTCACCCCATTCCCATCCCTCCATCCCAGTTTCTCACCCCATTCCTATCCCTCCATCCAGTTTCTCACCCCATTCCCATCCCTCCATCCCAGTTTCTCACCCCACCTTTTTTAACCCTCAGAGTCATCTTACTGCTGCCGTATGTGTGGTGTGGGGGTTCGTGAATACAGGCCATCTACTGGAGCCTGAGTAACCCCTCAAGGGTCGAATCCCTGCAGGAAAGTAACTCTCCCTCCCACAGGACCCATCAGTTGCGACTGTTCCCGTTGTGGGTGGAACTTCCTGACTCAGTTCCTTCCATTCCTGGACTTCGTATAGCTTAATCTTGTGCAGGTCTTATGCATGCGGTTATAGCTTCTTTCAATTTATGTACGGACTGTCCGTCTGTCTGACAGAGGGCTGATGTCTGGAATATACAGATGACTCAAGAAACTAAACACCAAAAATAAATAAATATTTATTTAAAACCCTAAATGATCCAATTAAAAAAATCTTGGAGTGGAACTAAACAGAGAGGTCATAAGAGAAAAAATACAAATTGCTAGGAATTTTTTTTTTTTTTTAATGTTCAACAAGCATCCTTCACCATCAGGGAAATTCAAATTAAAACTACGGCTAAGATCAAAGCAAACAGATGCTGTCAGAGATACAGGAAAAGGAGGAGGATTATTTGTTTATTGAGATTATTTGTTTGGTGTTCAACTCTTTGAAAAATGGGTTCCATGGCTTAAAGATTTAAGAACACTCTCTGAGTTCATTGAAACCTAGTAACTGTAAGGAAGAGTTCTAGATGGATGAAGGAAGATATCAGCCATATTTTATCAATACATCAGAAGCTGGAATAAGAATATCTATTCGCCAGGTGGTGGTGGCACCTGAGGCAGAGGCAGGCAGATCTCTGTGAGTTCGAGGCCAGCCTGGTCTACAGAGCGAGAGCCAGATCAGACAGTGCTACACAGGGAAACCCTGTCATGGAAAAATGGGGGTGGGGGGGATATCTGTTCTACCTGTGGCCACAATGACTTTAACATGGACACCAGATACTCTAAGTTGAAAACTATTCTAGGCTGGAGAGATGGCTCAGAGGTTAAGAGCACTGGCTGCTCTTCCAGAGGTCCTGCGTTCAATTCCCAGCAACCACATGGTGGCTCACAACCATCTGTAATGAGATCTGGTGCCCTCTTCTGGCCTGCAGACATACATGCAGGCAGAACACTGTATACATAATATAATAAATAAATAAATCTTTAAAAAAATTTTTTTCAAAAGAATCAGATTCAGCATGCAAAGGGATGGTATAGCAGATGTATTTTGCATATAGTTTCCTTTTTATAAATGTGTGAGTTTTATGTAATAAAAATCCATTTAAATTTAAAAGACTTTAAGTATGGAACAGAAGCTTTAAGTAGTGAAAGAGTATGTATCATGGTTTCTTACTGGTTTTCTTTCTTAGTGGTAATTGGATTAATTGAATTTAGTGATGCGGGGGCTTTATTAGACTGATTTTTATCTCATGTGTGGGTGTTTTGCCTGCATGTATATCTGTGCATCATGTGTGTAGAGTGCCTAAGAAGCCAGAGGAGAGTGTTGTGTCCTCTGGAGCTGGAGTTACAGACTGTTGTGAGCTGCCATGTGGGAGCTGGGAACCAAACCTGGGTCAAGAGAGCAACAAGTGCTGAGCTGCTTCTTCAGCCCAATATCAGAGACTTGAATAATTAAATTTGTTATTTATTTACTGACATATCTAGTGTGCTCACTTGCACATATGTGTGTGCACACATGCATGTGCCCATTCAAGCACACACCACTATGCACATGTGGAGGCCAGAGAACAGCGTGCAGGACTTGGCTCTCTCCTTCCACCATCGGGGTTCCAGAAATCAAACAGGAATCACCAGGCTTGGCAGCAAGCACCTTTACCCACTGAGCCATCTCAGAGGTCCAGTCAGAGGACTTTTTAAAATTAGACATTGCTGAGTTTGTTCACTGTGATTTTCTTTGGGAGTTTTGCATTCGTGTGTTCATGATTTTTGTTTTTCATTCAGGTATGGTAAGGCCAACAGATGAAGAAAAGGTAGCCTGTTATTCCCAGGTCTCAGAAGGAGTGAGGCATGGTGCGTTACGAAGAGCCACACACCGCACCGCCAAGGTTGGTGGCAGGTAGACGGGGCAGAAGGCTGCAGAAGAGCCTTGCACTGGCTTTTAGAGAAAGAGTGGGCAAAGAAGCCTATGCTGACTAAGCTGGCTTCCATCAGAAACCGAATGAACTCACCAGACTCTGGTTGTATTGGCTGATGGCTGGCCTTAGGGTGGTTGAAGCTGGGGAACGATGCCCCAGAGGGTCAGAGCTCATAACGAAGGTGGCTGCAGGAGTCTAGTATTTGGACTTGTTTTCATAGGCAGGTTGGTTTTGTGAGAGCATCTTTTATACCTCTAAGAATTGATTAGTCTGGATCAGAGCAGTCCTTCCCTGGTCAGTGGGACTCCAAAGATGCCAAACGGTCATAACAAAAGTTAGAAACCACGATTAAGATAACAATTAAAATTAGTTTATTCATTTTGTGGGAAGATTTTTCACTTTCAATGTTTTTAAGCATGTGTAGGACTGTGTGGCCATTATAGTTCTGGAGTTTGTTTGGTAAGCTTTCTTTTCTTCTAGGAACATGTCCATAATATCATCACCTTAATGTCTACTTTAGTTAGTCTCTTATTTCTGATATTAATTTGTGCCTTTTTCCTCATTCTTTAAAAAATAATTAATTATTAATTAATTAATTTGGTTTTTTGAGACAGGGTTTCTCTGTGTAACAGCTCTGGTTGTCCTGGAACTCATTTTGTAGACCAGACTGACCTCAGACTCACAGAGATCCACCTGATTCTGCGTCTCAAATGCTGAGATTAAAGATGTGCACCACCACCACCTGGCAAAAAAAATTTATTCTTTAATTTTATGTGTATGGGTGTTTTGGCTACATGTATATGTGTGTATCGTGTGCATGTTTGGTGCCTGTGGAGGTAAGAAGCGGGCATTGCATCACCTGGAATTGAAGTTACAGGCAGTTTGTGAGCTGATGTGTGGGTGCAGGGAACCAAACCCAGGTCCTCTGCAAGAGCAGTAAGAGCTCTTAACCACTGAGCCATCGCTCCAGCCTCCCTCCCTCCTTCCCTCCCTCTCTCTCTCTCTCTTTCTCTCTTCTTTTCTTTTTCTTTCTTTTTTTTTTTTTTTGGTTTTTTGAGATAGGGTTTCTCCATATAGCCCTGGCTGTCCTGGAACTCAGTTCATGGACCAGGCTGGTCTCAAACTCACAGAAATCTGCCTACCTCTGCCTCTCAAGTGCTGGGATTAAAGACATGCACCACCACACCTGGTTTCTCTCATTCTTTCTTGATAAATCTTTTCTTTCCCTAGAGAACTGCTTATAATATTATTGATTGGTTATTGTCTTTATTGTTTATTTTAATAATATTAAGAGTTTAGTATATGTTTCTTCTATGTGTTTGTATTTGTCATTTTTTAATGTTATTCATTAGATACTTATTGTTTCCTTTTTTGAAAGATTTTTTTTTTTTTTTTTTTTTGGTTTTTCGAGACAGGGTTTCTCTGTGTAGCTTTGCGCCTCTCCTGGAACTCACTTGGTAGCCCAGACTGGCCTCGAACTCACAGAGATCCACCTGGCTCTGCCTCCCGAGTGCTGGGATTAAAGGCGTGCGCCACCACCGCCCGGCTTTTGAAAGATTTTTATTCATTGACAAAAATATATTTATGAAGGGGAACATATTTGATATGTATACATGGTGTGGTTAAATCAAATGAATTAACATATTCATGACTTTATTTTCTTTGCACACATGTGTGCATGAGAGAGAGAGAGAGAGAGAAAGAGAGAGAGAGAGAGAGAGAGCCTCTAAAGATTGTACCAAGGGCTTTGTATATACTAAGCCAAGTGCTCTACCACTGAACCATGCCCCATTCCAAATACCAGCCTTTTTTTTTTTTTTTTTTTAATTGGTATATCTTGGCCAGGTGGTGGTGGTGCATGCTTTTAATCCCAGCATTCAGGAGGCAGAGGCAGGTGGATCTCTGTGAGTTCGAGGCCAGCCTGGTCTAGGAAGCAAGTTCCAGGACAGTCAAGGCTATGCAGAGAAACACTGTCTAAAAAAACCAAAAAAGAAAACACACACACACACACACACACACACACACACACACACACACACACACACAAGAATGGTATATCTTTTTTAAATTAATTTTATTTTTAATTCTGTGTGTGTGTGTGTGTGTGTGTGTGTGTGTGTGTGTGTGTGTGTGTGTGTGTAAAAACAATTGTACATTTGTGGTAGGTACCGTTGGAGACCAGAGGCATCAGATTCCTTGGAGTTTGTGTTATAGGTGGTCATGAGCCACCCAATGTGTGTGCTGTGAATTAAAATCAGGTCCTCTGGAAGAGCAGCCAGTACTCTTAAATACTGAGCCATCTCTCCAGCTCCTATTAGTCTTTTTGTTTTAAGAATACTTAAGAGGCTGGAGAGATAGCTCAGCGGTTAAGAGCACTGACTGCTCTTCCTGGGGACCCAGATTCAGTTCCCAAGCCCAACATGGCTGCTCACAACCGTCTGTAACTCCTGTTCTAGGGGATCTAACACCAACATACAGGCATATATGCAGGTAAAATACCAATATTCGTAAAAATAAAAACAGGAATACTTAAGAGCTACTCTCAACAGGTTTCAGATATCCAACACTGTAGTCACTGTGAGATATGATAGCTCTTTTGAACTTGTCTATATTGAAATTTTGCATTTGCTTTCTGAGGGCCTAAACATTGCAATTTCATTCAGTTGCACCTGTGGCCTGATACTCCATGTTCATGACAACTCAAGGCTAGTACTTGAGGTCCTGGTTCTCTAATCATTCAGAGTAGAATGGGTTTTTATTGTTTGTTTTTTGTTTTTGTTTTTGGTACAGTGTAAACAAGGCAGAGTTTTTCTGTCCTAACTACCCAGTCCCAAATAAACGCACAGAGTTTATATTAATTACAAAATGCTCAGCCAATAGCTCAGGCTTACTACTAACTAGCTCTTACATTTAAATGAACCCATTTTTATTAGTCTGTGTATTGCCACATGGCTCGTGGTTTACCTGTCCTCTAGCATCTTGCTTCTTGGGTGTCTCTCTGACATCTCTCTTGACTCTGCCCTTCTTCATCCCAGTCCCCAGTTTGATTGTTCCGCCTAACTTTTTCCTGCCTTGCTACAGGCCAGTCAACTTTATTATTAACCAATGAGAGTAATGCATATTCACAGTGTACAGAAGGATTATCCCACAGCAGTACAAGGTCTCATATAGCTGAATGTGGCCTTGACTTCACTGTGTACCTGAGGCTGACCGTGGACCTATCCATTTCAGAGAGCTTAGTGTACACTACAGTTCCTGGCTGGAATGGAGGTCTAAGTATATCTAGTAAATCCAGTTTGCTCAGGGTTTTGGTTTTCCTTGTTTTCGTATTTGTTTGTTTGTTTGTTTTCTTGATGTGAGGTAGGTATGATGAGGTCAGTTTGGCCCCAGATTCTATCCAGTTTTTATAACTTACTGAAGGGAAATTTCAAAATACATAGCAGCAGAATAGTGGCACAAAGCCAGTGTGATAGCCATTTGTGAGCGCTCACATTATCATCTCAAGGCTGACCTTGTTTTATGTCTAGCTCTATCTAGTCATACTTCTTTCTCTCAGACTTCGATCAATTTTTAAACAAATTCTGGTCATTAATTATGGCATGATGCGGTTTCATCCATGAATATTAATATTGCCATATCATCTTCATACCTAGAAAAGTTCCTTAGTATCATCAAATATCCAGTCCCTGTTCACAGTTTCTCATTTCCTGTCTCTGATTCATCATCCCTCTGTCTCATCCTTCCCAGTGCTGGGATAATAGGCATATTTCAGCACAACCTAGTAAAACTAACCATTGTAAAATCAACAACTCAGTGGCATTTGGAGCACTTGTAGGGTATGGAAGGCTACCTCTGGTTTTGCAGTATTTTTATACACACCGTACCTGTAATTTCCCTAAACTGTTCTTTTTATGGATTTACCTATACGAGATATTTTATCTAAATAGAATGATATATGTGACCTTTTGTGCCTAGCTTCTAACTTAGCATGGTTTTCAGTCTCATCAATGTGGTAGCTTACCAGTATCCTTTTCTTTCTATGGCTCAATAATAATATGGCTCCATTATTTATAATTTTATGCTAAGTTTTGAAATTTAGAAGTGAGACCAATTTTGTTCTTTTTCAATATCATTTGGGTTTTTAGAATCCCTTGAGATTTTTCCATATAAATTTGAGGATATTCTTTCAGTTCACAGATGCATGGAATCCTATAATAGGGATTGTACTGAATCTATAAATTGCTTTGAGTAATATTGGCATTACAACAGTATTTTCCATGACCATAGTATAATTTTCCCACTTACTTAGGTTTTTGGTTTTAGTAATGTATTACGGGTTTACTGAATATAGACATTTCATCCCCATACTTAAATGTATTCCTATACATTCTTTCAGATGTTCACTTTTGGGTTTTGCTCATTTTTAGGAGGATATGGAATGGATTATTTTTGTTTGGTTATTGTTACTTCTTCTAATCTTCTAGATACAAAATAAAGTTTTGTTTTAGATCCACTTCCTATTTTTTTCTGTAGCAAAAGGTTCTTTTGCAGTACACAGTCTCCTAACCCCCTCTGTTACCATTAAAATATCTTTTTTTGTTTGTAAACTACTTTAAAAATCTCTATTGTCAAGTGATACACAAAATTCAGAAAAGTAGACAATAAAATTGCTTCTCTATAGCCTAATAGGTTAAGTAACTGTAGGTTATAGGTTTTGTTGAATTTTTATGATAAATTAGATCAGGATACATCTGATTATTTAAAATCTTAAATGAGAAATTATTTAAATGTGCCTTATAACTATATATTAAAATAGGACTCATTTATTATCTTATAAACTCATGCTAAAGACAATCATGATACTAGATCTAAGTGCCTCAAAGTTTATATTATTCATAATTTTTCATTTCCAAGTTTGTCAAGCTAATATTGATAGTATGAGTGCTTAGTTTTGGCTTTGAGCTAGGTCTCACTATGTAGCCCAGGCTGTCCTGGAACTCAGTCCTGCTCTAGCCTCCTGGTTACTGGGATTATAGCACGTACAGCCATACTCGGTTGGTGGATGGAGACAGGAAGAACAGAAGGTTCAGGCTATTATTGTCTCCTTCAGGAATTTTAATATTGATTTGTTGATAATAAATCCCACTTCCTCCAGACATCCCCAGTCCATGTCAGCTTCATAATCCACTGAGTCCAGTGAGTGACTCGTGAATGCACTTGGCCTACCAGTGGCCCCAACCCTGGAGAAGACTTATGCCCCGTTGTCCAGGAACAGCCAGTTACCGGCAGTTCCTCACTAATGATGGAGGCTTGTGAGCCGCTCTTCCATCCATGCCAGAATATTGACTAGCTTGATTTTTTTTTCTGATAACTGTAGCTGCTAGATGTTCACAGGGCAATAATATTTCATAACACTCTTGGCCATCCCTGGCTCCTACATTCTTCTGTGCCTCTCTCTTTTCTTGATGTTTCTTGAGCCTTGGGGTTTAGGTAGGATGGTATACATATCCCATCTGCAGCTAAGCACTCAGCAGTCACTAATTCTGAGTACTGTGACTGATACCACCGTAGAAAGAGACTTTCCTGATGAGAATTGAGGGCAGCACAAGTTTCTGGCTAGAAACATAAATATTTAGAAGTCAGTTTGACGTGTACATTTAGCAAAACAATGGCAAGTTTCCTTCTGGTGCCTATGACCTCCTTAGCCCTGGTCTGGGCTAAGTTTAGAGTACCAGACATAAATTCCCGCCTATGAAATGGGCCTTGGATCCAAATAGGAAGCTGTTGGTTACCTCCACAGCAATCATGCCACTGATGTGCCTGTGGGTACATTTCACCTGGCAGGTCACTATTTTAGCATACAGTTGCTACTACTGAGTAAGTCCATTGACGGCTCCTCCTGTCGCACCCTGGGACTGGAATAGCAACCTCTAGCCCTGTGAAGCTTACCCCTGTAGAGAGGAAGTTTTCAGGTCAATTCCGGATTGAGTTCTCTAGGCCCTACAACAAAAGTGTGCTGTGTCTTCAGCAGTAGGGCCTTACAAAGTCATCCTTGGGTGGTTACATAAATATGTCTAGTGCTTTCCTCTGAAGTTTTAACTTAAAAAAATCCTTTTACTGTTAGTTGTGTGTAGGGTGTGTGTGTGCACGTACCACTGAGTTCATGTGGAGATGAGAGAGGACTTCTGCCTGCTGAACTGTCTTGTAGGCCCCCATTTCACTCTTGTTTGTTTGTTTGTTTGTTGTTTTCAGACAGGGTTTCTCTGTGTAGCCCTGGCTGTCCTAGAACTCACTCTGTAGACCAGGCTGGCCTCGAACTCACAGAGATCCGCCTGCTTCTGCCTCCCAGATGCTGTGATTAATGGCATGCGCCAGGCCACCACCACCCTGCTCATCCTTTGTAGTTTCAGTTACCTATAGTCAACCATGACTTGAAAGTATTAAACAGGAAATTTGGGATAACTTTTATTGTAGTATAGTGCAATTGTTCTATTTTATTATTGTTTTTACTTATCTTTTACAGTGCTAATGGGCCTCGTCTATAAATGCATATGGAGGATTTGATTCTTTCTGAGGTTTTAGACATCCACTGGAGTATTTGGAATGTATCTTTTTTTTAATTTATTTTTTCTTAACATTTATTTTACAGTGTTCTGTCTGCATGTTTTGCCTGTATGCCAGAAAAGGATATCAGATGTCATTATAGATGGTTGTTAGCCACCATGTGGTTGCTGGGAATTGAACTCAGGACCTCTGGAAGAGCAGCCAGTGCTCTTAACCTCTGAGCCATCTCTCCAGCCCCTGGAATGTATCTTATAGGACACATATTCCCATGCATGCATAATCCTGTCAGCATCAAGGCCTCTTTTCTAAAATTATGTGATGCTATGTGTTTAACATATCTCAAGGGACACATATTTCCATGTGTATATAATCCCATTAGTACCAAGGCATCTTTTCTAAAATTACATAAGACTATATAGATTAACATTCCTAAAGGACACATATTCTGATACATGCATGGTCCCATTTGCACCAAGACATCTTTTCAAAAAAATGCTATATAGGTTATACCCAACCCATAAAATTAAACTTTTATTTGCATTATATAATTGTGCAGTGAATGTAACATAACTTTATAACACAAATTCAGTTTTAATGAACTAATAATATAGAATGTAATAAGGACAGAATGAGGGAACTATATAACCCTAATGTTTAATTTGCCTTAAATGTATTCTGGTGTCTTGGCAAGTTAATTAATAAAAACAATAATTTTCTATTTATAGAATGGAAATTGTTTTACCTAAATTGTGTGTAGTATGGAAGATGAACATTTCATTTAGGATTAACATCCCCATTAAGTGTTAGTTGCACAGTTGACCAGATGTCTAATCTTTCAGCTGTTAACTAACAGGAGACAATGAAACCGAAGATGGAGGCAGCATGGACCAGTGTCCTTCATTAGGAGTCAGCCATAGTGATGGCGGAGAGTCCCCAGGAGAAACTCGGGAACCTGAGGTAGGGATTCGGCTGGAAAGCTTTCTAATCTGAAGAAGAACAGCATGCCATTTAACAACTGTTCTTGCTTAAAGAATAGTTCTTTTATTCAGTGATATGAGGTTTTTAATATGCCAGAAGTGGTAGTATACACTTGTTTTCCCAGCACTCAGGAGGCACAGCACAGGGCCAGCAGTTCAAAGTCAGGCCTGGGGTGCATATTTGAGACTCTGTTTCAAAAAGGTTTTGATTACATATCTATCATATATTTAGTTTTTAACATAGAATTTTTAATAATGCTTATATATAGCCATAACATTTTGTACTCAATACATACATATTGAATTATATTTCATCATTTCCAAATGCATTCCTGAGAAAATAAAGAGTTAAAACATAAAAATGAACACTTTCATTTAAGACAGCGATTCTCAACCAGGATCAAATGACCCTTTCATAGGGATCGCCTAAGACCACCTGAAAACACAGATATTTATGATTCATAACAGTAGCAAAACTACAGTTATGATGATGCAATGAAAATAACTTTATGGTTGGGGGTCACACAACATGAGGAACTGTGTTAAAGGGCTGCAGATGAGGAAGGTGGAGCAGCACCGACTGAAGAAATACCAGAGACAGGTGGATCTCTGTGAGTTCAAGGCCAGCCTGTTCTACAGAGGGAGTTCCACAGCAGGATAGTTACAAAGAGAAACCCTGTCTCCCCGCCCCAAAAAAAGAAAAAAAAAACTCTGTAAAACTATGGTATATTTTACAAAGACTAATGTCATTTTATTTCTTTATTTATTGACTTTTCAAAAGCATCTGACCTGTATGGACTCTGGGGATTCTTCCTTTGGACAGAATGATTCCCCTGCTATTTTGCCCATTCCTGCTCCTGAAACAGATGAGTCACTCACATCACAGGACATGCCAGAGACACTGACCGATGCACAGACCCTTCATGAGGAGCAGTTTCGTCTTTTGGACCCAAATGGGCAGCCTCTTCGATATGACCTTCAGTCACTGGGCGATTCTAATGCACAAATGGTGAGTATATTTTATAACTAACGAGTGTTAGGCTATTATGGTATTTAACAATATGTATTAATCATCCTAAAGGGACTTAGTTTCTTGATACTATTGACTTATACATTATATTGGAAATATAGGTATTTTTTTCTTTTAGGAGTGCAAAGGCTACCAATAGTTTAGAGCAGTCCTTACTGCTCATGTCAGGTACACTGGTACTTGTGATAAGGCAGATGTGATTTACAGCTAGTGTTTATATACTAAAGTGTACTTGAAGGTTACTTTTTGCTTTTGAGACAAGGTTTCATGTAGCCCAAACTGTCCTTTCACTGTCTGTGTTATTAACCTCCATGCATGTGCTATCACGATTAAGATCATAGGTCCTTAAGACCATAGGCTATAGTCAAGCTGATTGTTTTGAATCTTAGCTTCAGCACTTGTCAGCTGTGGGACCTTTGGAAAATTGCCACAGTCTCAGTCTCTGTCTGCACAGTGAAGTAATAAGGCCATCCTAGGAGTAGGTGTGAGCTTAAATAACCTAGTAGCCCTGGAAAATCAGAACAGCATATCATTTCTTTAATGCCTCCAAGATGATCGCTACGAGCCCATCAGAAAACGGACAGGTGCTTCATGTAATTCCATCTACCCAGACAGGAATGGCTCAAGTGATCATACCTCAGGAGCCGCTTGTGGATGTGACTAGTCCTCAAGGTGAGTCAGTATGGGATGGGTGCAGGGGGGGTTGACAGTGCTCTAAAGATTAAGGTGATAGTCTAGAAAATTCCCTAGGAAGTCCATGTTAAAGTTCATCTCTTTAGGTGAGGTTGTGAACTGAGTAATTAGAAGGTTTTTTTAGCCCCAGTAAATCTTAAGTTCGCCTTTCAACTCCTGTCTAGGTTAGATGTCTGTTTCATTTTGGGATTCTATGAAGCTGGTTGACTCCTGCTTCCTCCCAGATAACCAATGAGCGTAAACTAAATTCTTCTTAGTTATAGAAACAATAGAAATAGCAACAGTAGCACAAATATAGGACCTAGCTACAGGAGTTTTTTATATTGGTCCTTTATTGATTTTTGCTAGCTCTGTGACCTATCCGTTTTTGAACTGTTATTTGGATCTCCCCCTCCTTCCCTTGGTTTCACATTCAGAAAAGAGGATCAGACTTCCCATCCCCCCCTTTGCCTGTTTGATAATATTTCTAGTAATTTTCTTTCTTCCCTTTGCAATGTAGTTGAATCTCTTTTTAACATCATTGCTACACTGTTTTGTTGCTCTTTTATATGTAGTAGTTTAAGATAGTTATTTTTACCTTGTTTTATGATTTATTGTCTTTATTAATAGTCATTAAAAGTTAAACTAAAAACATTATAAGCACAATGTAGAAGTAAATTTTTTGTTTTCATATTACATGTGAAACTCTTTAATATAACAATTATTTCTACTGTTTTAAAATCATAGCTGTTAAATATAAGTATAAAAAGTTAACTACAAAATTTCATAGTCAGTATATAATTTAAAAGTAAGTTTATCAGTGACCGTCTCAATAAATCATTTAAAGTTTTGTTTTTTTAACTTCAGAACTATTCTTCTTTTTCCATTAAAATGATTTAATTCTAGTTAAGTAATCTTCATAGTGTTATTGAAGATACTGATGCTTCTTATTTTTGTTGTTAAGATGCCTCTGAAGAGAAACCCGCTGACAGAAGCTTACCAACTGTAAGAGCAGACACTCTAGAAGCCAGCACCAATGACTACATTCTTCGTTCTCAAGCATCCCTTGCATTTCCCAAAAAGTCAGGGACCAGGTGAATCATGGGAAAGAGGAGTTTGTCTTTGGGGTCACAGTGGAAGTCTGTTTTTAAATGATCAGATCTGGCAGACAGTGGAAAAGATCAGAAGTTCAGAAAGAGGAAATGTTCATCACATATATCTTCATTTATTTCAGCTCATCTTGACAAGACAGTTTCCTGTCCTTTCAGAGAAATGTTCCTAAGGTTTTTAAATAGTTAGCCACATTTATATAGATATAATTCTTAGATGATAAAGTATTTAAAATGTTTTTGCTAGTATTTTGTGTGCGTGTATGTGCTTTCTCTGGAAATTGAGCAAAGGGTCTTGGACATGCTAGGCAAATATTTTCCACCCAGCCACAAAAACATAGCCTGTTTTTTTATTTTGTTTTTTTCTTTGTTTTTAAAGTTTTTTATTTATTTTATGTATATGAGTGCTCTATCTACATATACAACGTTATGCCAGAAGAGGGCATCACATCCCACTGTAGATGGTTGTGAGCCACCATGTGGTTGTTGGGAACTGAACTCAGAACCTCTGAAGAGCCCCTGGTGCTCTCAACTGCTGATCCGTCTTTCCAGCCCTGACACAGCCTGCTTTTTGCTAACTTCTCCTTCGGTTTTACCTTTTTTTTTTTTTTCTTAAAAATAACATGTTTCAGCCGGGCGGTGGTGGCGCACGCCTTTAATCCCAGCACTCGGGAGGCAGAGCCAGGCGGATCTCTGTGAGTTCGAGGCCAGCCTGGTCTCCAAAGCGAGTTCCAGGAAAGGCGCAAAGCTACACAGAGAAACCCTGTCTCGAAAAACCAAAAAAAAAAAAAACCATGTTTCATAACAATTTTAGAAAAATATTTAAAGTATCTTTTTGTAACTTTTTTTTTAGTTTATTTATTTTTATTCCATGTGTATGTCTGTCTGTATGAGGGTGTCTAACCCCCTGGAACTGTAGTTACAGACAATTGTGAGCTGCTATGTGGTTGCTGGGAATTGAACCTGGGTCCTCTGGAAGAAGAATCAGAGAGCCCTTAACTGCCGAGCCATCATTGGAAGATTTCTGATTACTGCTTTGATCTCATTGGTTGTTATGGCTCTATTGAAATTATTTGCTTGGTTTAACTTTGGTAGGTCATATGTGTCTCAAATTCATCTTTTTCTTTTAGATTTTCCAGTTTAGTGGGACATGAATTTTTAAAGTATGTCTTCACAATCCACTGGATTTCCTCGGTGTGTGTTCTAGTGTCTCCCTTTTCTTCTAGTCTTATTAACTGAGTCTTCTGTCTCTTTCTTTTGATTAGTTTGGCTAGGGTTATGTCAATTTTATTTACCTTTTCAAAAATTACCTCTTGGTTTAATTGAATTTTTTGTCATTTTCATTCTATTTTATTATTTTCTGCCCTGACCTTTGGTATTTCTTCCCATCTACTGCTTTGGGATTGGCTTGTTCTTGTTTCCCAGTGCCTAAAGTTTTACTGTCAGGTTGTACATTTGCTATATGTCTGACTCCTTAATGTAGGCATTTAGAGTTACACATTCCTCTCTTAGGACTCCTTTCTTGTATCACATAGATTTCAATTTTCATTATCATTTACTTCTAGGAATTTAAAATTTCCTTCTTGATTTCTTCAGTGACCCATTCATCATTCAACATTGTATTGCTTACTCTCCATGAGTTTGTATATTTTCTGAAGTTTCTATTGCTGTTAATTTCTGGCTTTATGCCAGGCAGTGGTGGCGCACACCTTTTTTTTTTTTTTTTTTAAAGATTTATTTATTTATTATGTATACAGCATGTATCCCTGCAGGCCAGAAGAGGGCAGCAGATCTCATTACAGATGGTTGTGAGCCACCATGTGGGTTCTGGGAATTGAACTCAGGACCTCTGGAAGAGTAGACAGTGCTCTTAACCTCTGAGCCATCTCTCCAGCCCCGGCGCACACCTTTTTAATCCTAGCACTTGGGAGGCAGAGGCAGGCAATTATAATAGTATAATTATTATATATAATATATATTATTATATATAACAATAATAATTATTATGGCTTTATCCCATCATAATCAGGAAGAATATAGTATTTCAATTTCCTTGTATTTGTTGAGACTTGCTTTGTGTCCTAATATATGAGTTATTTTAGAGAAGATTACATGGGTTGCTGAGAAGAATGTGTATTCCCCATTGTTCAGGCAGAATGTTCTGTAGATGTCAGTTAGGCCCATCAGTTAGTTTAATCTGTGATGTCATTTAATTTCAGTGTTTCTTTATTCATTTTTTGTGCACCTGATCTGTCCAATAGTGAGAATAGGGTGTTGCAATCACAACTGTTTGGTGGTTAATCTGTGATTTTTAAATCTTGTAGTGTTTGCTTCACAAAACTGGATGAGCTATATTTGGTGGGTGTGATGGTCTGAATGAGAAATGCCATCCATAGGTTCATGTTTTCTAACACATTGGTCCCAATTAGTGGCCCTCTTTGTAGAGATTATAGAACCTTGCAGGTCACTGGGGGCAGGTATGGATGGTTTGCAACCTTGCCCCACTTCCTGCTATCTCTCTCTGCTTCCTGTGTGGGGTTGAGCTGTGATCTCTCAGGCCTGGTCCTATAGCCATGCTGACTTCCCTGCCATGAGCGACTTGAATAACTCTCTGGAACTGTAAGGCAAAGTAAACCCTTTCTTCTATAATTCGGCAAGGTGAATGTAGTTATTATAATGGGCAGCAGAGACAAGCAGTGTCCATGATGGCCTGACCCATAATGGACAGCACAGGCAAAATGATTTTTGTGGTGGCATGACTTGTATGGAGCTCTGGTACTAGCTAAACAATCATAGTGTTTCCAGGAATGAACTAGATAAGACGCCTACTGTGTTTTTGTTTGAGCAGTATAAGCAAAAAATTCTCAAATGAAGGAAAGGCTACATTGGATGGTGGCAAGAAGGAATCTCAGCCAGTCAACTGGTTTCCACTTGAGCCAGTTTGCAGATCCAGAACCCCTTGAATGAAGAGAAGGAGAGGTTCCCCTGAGGAAAGGACCTAAGACTTTTACTGTTAGCCCAGAGAGACCTGTGGCTTTTTACACAGGTAAATGTACACTGGAGAGACAATTAGACTGTCCAGGATGTTTTGGATACTAGTTCTGAACTGACATTGACTGCAGGCCATCCCAAGAAACATTGTGGTCCTCCGGTAAAATTAGGGACTTCTGGAGGTCAACTTGACTAATGGAGTTTTAGCTAAAGTCCATCTCACGGTAGAACCAGTGGGTCCCTGAACTCATGCTTTGGTTATTTCCCCAACTCTCGAATGTATAATTGGGATAGATATACTTAGAAGCTGGCAGAATTCCCACAACTGCTGACTCTGTCTAGCCCCATTGTTAGGCCTGTGCATGGCCACCAACTTGACCACTGTTCTGCCAGAATGGCTGGCACACATTGCTTTTTTTAAAGTAACACCTTACACATGCTTCATGGGTTTTGAGATATGTGTGTCCTTGATGGTCTGGGCAGTTCCTTGAGTATATTTTAAAATGAACTTGAGATCTGAGCCTCTTGATTTACATGATTCTGTAGGGTTTTCTGAGTGAAGAGATTGGTGGACCATTTTCATAGGTCACCTCTTGGCCATAAACAGGAAGAGTCTACTGTTAAATCCCTTTAGCCAGTTCAGAAACTGTATGTTGAGATTACCAATAAAAAAGTTGCCGGGCGGTGGTGGCGCACGCCTTTAATCCCAGCACTCGGGAGGCAGAGCCAGGCGGATCTCTGTGAGTTCAAGGCCAGCCTGGGCTACCAAGTGAGTTTCAGGAAAGGCGCAAAGCTACACAGAGAAACCCTGTCTCGAAAAACCAAAAAAAAAAAAAAAAAAAAAAAAAAAAAGGTTAACATGGGCAGGAGAGACTGCTCTGCAATTAAGAGCTCCTTGAGATGATCCTTTGTGAAAAGGAAGACTTGTTTCTAAAGCAAAATAGAAGGTTTCCCAGAAGAAAAAGGGATTCCCAGAAGAAACCCAAAGAAATATAAATCAATGGCATGGAATAAAAACAACATTAAATAAATGTACAGAAATGTTTGTTTGTTTGTTTGTTTTAAAAAAGGAGGGAGGGCCGGGCAGTGGTGGCGCACGCCTTTAATCCCAGCACTCGGGAGGCAGAGCCAGGCGGATCTCTGTGAGTTCGAGGCCAGCCTAGTCTACAGTGAGTTCCAGGAAAGGTGCCAAAGCTACACAGAGAAACCCTGTCTCAAAAAACAAAAACAAAAACAAACAAACAAACAAAAAAAGGAGGAGTTGGAGGCTGGAGAGATGGTTCCGGGGTTAAGAGCACTTGTTGTTCTTGTAGAGACCTGGGTTTGCTTCCTAGCACCCATATGGTGACTTACAGCCAGCTGTAATTCCAGTTGTAGGGGATCCAGTGCCCACTCTGACCCCAGTCACATGTGGTATGCATACTTATATGCATACAGGCTAACTATGAAGACACATAAAATATATTTTTAAAGAGGTGGTCTGGGGAAATGGCTTAGTAAAACATTCAGCATGAAGTATGAGGCCCTGCGTTCAAAACCAGGTGTAGTAGTTCTTATCTGTGACCTCTGGGAAGTGGGCACAAAGGAAGACAGATTCTTTGAGTTTACAGCCAGCCAGTTTGCAGAATTGATGAGCTCCAGGTTCAGTGAGAAACACAGTCTCAAAAAATAAGGTGAGCCGGGTGGTGGTGGCACATATCTTTAAGCCCAGTACTTGAGAGGCAGAGGCAGGTGAATCTCTGTGAGTTCGAGTCCATCCTGGTCTACAGAGCAAGTTCTAGAACAGCCAAGGGTATGCAGAGGAACCCTGTCTCAAGAAACCAAAAAAAAAAAAAGATGAGTGACTATGGAAAACATCTGATGTCAGGCTCTGGTTTCGATACACATATGTACACACATGTGTCCATATATTACAATATTACACATACAAAGTAAAGAAAAAGATAAAGCAGTTAAATGGTGTGTGTGTGTGTGTGTAACCACGGATTTACATCTATTCCTCTCCTCTCCCAGAATGCTCGAAGAACCTTTGCCGGCTCCTCTTCAGCCACTGTCTTGTAACACACCGATCTGGGCCTGCCGTCTTAGGAGTTGTGAGGTGAGTCTAAGAGAATCCTTACCTCCCTTACCTGGTTATGGCAACACTTCATCCCCAGATGAATATTTTTTAATACAAATAATACAGTCAGTATCTGTCATAGTCTGTATGCACTTGCTTAATCTAAGCTCGCCTTTTGCTTTAGAAGTTATGCCTTCTATTGTGGTGGGGCAGCCTGTAATCCCAGCACTGGGGAGGTGGCGGCAGGAAGATCGAGAGTTTAAACTCTTGTGGGGCGTTTACCCAACCACCCCCACAGTTCCCCAGAGTTTTCTTGAGTGCGAGCAGCAGGAAATATTAGATAGAAGGATTTATTGCGGAGAATATCGCGGAGATAAACAGATAGAAAATAAAGGATAGCCTCGAGAGGGCCTGGAACCTATTCCAACGGGCCCCGACTGTCTCTGCCCCAGGGTTTTTATAGAGACGCCAAGGGGTGGAGCAAAAGACCTCCTCCCCCAGCACAGCCAAGTGCAGACCATCTCAGACACCTGCACTCAGGCCCGTGGTCCAATCATCCTCTATGCAGACCTGCTGGGTAAAGCCACGAGGAACCCGAGAATGGGCTCCCACAGGTCCCCCTTTCTTAATATATAAAAAAATAACTATTAATAGCTTACAGAAATCTCCATAGCTGTTACACCTCCCAGTATGGGAGTAGAGGATGATAAAGATGGCATTTCTCTTTTGAATTAGGTCCAAAGTGACTACAGCAGTCTTAACTGCCTCAAGCCCTTTCTAAACCAAAATCTCTTAAGGCGACTACAAACTTAAAGAATCCCTTAGCTTCATCATTACCATTAACAGGTTAACATAAATATTGCTATACATAGTCACAATTCTCTCAATCTTACAACTCAAAGCAAACTCTTAACAGAACCATTTGAATTAGCATATATGGTGCTATATATAGTTAACAATTTTCTCCGTCTTACAACTTTAACTCTTAATCATTTAAATTTCCTTGCTAACAAAACATAGGAAAAACTTCGATGTATTCACATCAAACTTAAATATTTCCTTAACTCCACAAAACCAGGGTGCATTAATATCAATAGGGTAAATATAATTTCTGCAAACATAATTCAACCTCATAACTCCTCCTTTTCTTTATAATTTTTTAAACAAAATCTCAAACCTAGTTAGAGGAACCCAAACTTATACAATTTCTACAAACCCATATTGAAAAGCAAAATTCTCAATCAAAAGCAGTTTCTTAATAAAATTCTTTACACACTTTAAAAGTAGTGTCTTAGTATACCCCATTTGCAGTTCTTACTAACAAAAACATGACATTAATCCACTCAAACAACTTTTGAAATTAGACTAAGGAATATTAACTCTCCCCCTTTTCTTTATAATTTTTTAAGCAAAATCTCAAGCCTAGTTATAAAACCCAAACTTTTCCATTTAAACAGTTCCATTTATAACACAATTCCAGAAAACAGTTCCTAGGTCATTACTATGAATAAACTCAAAATTGTCCCATTGCAATGAAATCTCTATTGTTCATTTCTTAAGTCCCAAAATTCAAAGGATAAATTCTGGTACTAGCCTTCCAAATATGAAGAAATCCATAACCAAGATCTTTTTGTAGTTTTATCTCATTTTAAGTTCAAAAAGTTCAAACAAGAAATAAATTCTGGTATCAGGCTTTCACTTCAAAATATGAAGAGACGTTTTACAACCAAAACTTTTTGCAGTTAATTTTTGTTCAAACAAGCGTCTCTGAACTTATTCTTTTTTAGGTACAGTAGTATTCTAAACAGCACCGTTTTTGATGTTAGCTTAGGTTTTTCTGTGTTGTGTCGATTTTCCACGGATCTCAGCTGCGGATGCCTTGTTGTGCTGGCTCTGGCGTCCGCCATTCTTAGCTTCTTAGCGGCTTCTGGAACTTTTGAAAACCGCTCAGACTGCCTGCTTTGCAGTCTGCTAGGACACTAAGTTCTGTGTGTCTCAGGTTCTTTCACCATATACATTAAGAATAGACTCACACTTAACATTTACACTTTTTTACAAACACATAACATCTTGCAAAGCATTTAGACTCACATTTACATGTTTACAAACTCACATATAACATATTAACATCTACTTATTTATACTCCTTAAGGAAACTATAGAACTACTTTAGCAAATATATTTCTTATTACTTATATATTTCTTATATTCACTCCATCTTATTCTTATTTAAACTTACATTTACAACTAGCATCTTTACTTCTTACAAGCTTATTACTATATGTCTTAAGACTGCATTAGATACTTCTTGCAAGCTTATATTCTTAAAGGAACTCTATAGATCTATTTTACAAACTTATATAGGGTTACCATTAGCATATATTTAACTTAGCAAACACCTAAAGATTTCTTAACACAGATCTAACAAGAGAATTTTTTCAAACTCACATATCTTATTTTCATCCTTTTCTACTTCTTACTCTTAATTATTATCACTATCTCTATTAGAAAGATTCTCTTAACTAGACAGGAAGTACATACATCATTTCTAAAGTTTAGAGTTTATAGTCAGCTTTGTTATAAAACACTGGAATTTAGTGAGTGTTGTTATAGAATTGTGATAGTTGTTGCTAGGGGACTGTAGCATCTTCGGGACGAAGCCACACTCCAAAGTTGCCAGTTCTCTCAGCCGTTCCGGACCGGCAGAGATGCACTGTCAGCAGTAGACAGTTTTTAACTAGAGGCTGTCCCTTCACCCAAATTCATAATAGTTTCCCTAAGTGCTTCAATTCAGACAAACATTTCTATTATAGCAGTACATTTGGTTCGTTCTACCAAAAAACTTCACTTCACGCTGGGGGTGAAATTACCGTATTTAGCTGCTGTAAAGCTGTAAAGCCAAATACTGCACAGCTATAAGGTGATATAAAGTATTTTTCTAAAGGAGCTAGTAAAGCCACAAGCGGCACAGCTCCTAACTCTGTTTCCTCACTGTTTGCATTAAACAGTGACAAAACCTCAGAAATACTAATCGAGCCACTTTCATTCTGGTTCCTTTATAGGAACATCATTGGAGCTGACCTTCCTTAGTTCCACGCTCCTTACCAGACGCTCCGGTAACCACCGAGCTTCATTCCCCTCTTGTGAAAAAACACAAACATGTCCTCGACCCCATATTAACACAGGATCGGGACCCTTTCATAATCCCGAGCAGGGATCTTTCCATTTTGAATTATCCTTAGCTAAAGGACCAGGAAGATTGGAGTGAGCTCTAATATGGCCCACAAAGCATGGCAGCTTTCTTTTTGTGAATAGCATCTTGAATTTGTTGAAACATTTTGACCGGATTGTTGTTAGTTCCAGTATTTTTACCAAAACTGTTACTATTCAAAAGGAGTCAAGAACATAGATGTTCTTTCATGAAACATATCCTTCATTAGCTTACTCTGAGAAAAAGCATTTTCAGGATTTAGTATTTTCACTTCATTAGCTTTTAACTCCTGATATTACTAGCAGCTGTAATATTTAGCATTGATTTCTTATAAGGAACTTTCAGGTGAAGCAACTCTTTTGTAAGACAGCTAGATTTTCTAAAGTTTGTTTCCCATCTATAGAGCAGTCATTTCTTTTTGAATGCCTGTTTCTTATCCCCTTAATTAGATTTGCAAAGGAATCACTCATTGCAGGCAGTTTGTTCAAAAGGCAAAGAACTTTTTTAATTTCAACAAAAGTGTCTTCATATCTAAGACAACGTTCAGTGTATAAACTGCTCTCTCTTGCTTTCTTAAGGATTTTAAAGTGGCTTATTTGCTCTTAAAGGTAGCTTTTTGTCATCCAACTGCCATAAAAACTTTGCACAACTATTAGGGTAAATAAGGCATTTTACCAAGGAGCCCCAAACCGTGAAGCACCTAGTTCCATATCCTTTCAATTTTTCATTGGAACTGACACTTAAACTTAGACGATTTTTCTCCTTATTCTTTTAAAAGCTGTATTTTAAGTTTACCATGAACGTATTTTCGAGCTGACAAGTGTTTCAGGGCAATGTTGCCATCTTTAATGGAAAAACTACCTTTCCCAGAATGCATTTCCCTTATATCAGTCCATAATAATATCATTTCCCTTATATCAGTCATTTCCCATAGTTCTTTTCGGGTCTGAGAGTCAACTTGTTCTCTTTTACCAGACTTGTTTACAAATTCTTGCCCGGGAGGTTTGAACAAAGTTTTTTGCTTTTGCAATGGGAGATTTGAACGAGCATTTTACATTTTCAATTATGGGACATTGGGAGGTTTCTGGTCTCTCAGCTGGCTTCAACAGGTGTCTCTCCTTCATTTGACACAGGCCCCCAAATCAGAACCGCACTTGCCTCGTTAGCCGACATTGAGGCTGGCATTTCTGATAGCAACTTTCCTAGGGGCTTGTGTTTGTCTTAGCCAGTCAGTGAAAAACATTTACAACAGAGCTTTTCCATAGCTCCTTCAAAGATTTTCTCCCACTGATTTTATTCTCATTTTGCTTGTTCCTTCCTTCCCCAGATGCAGAGCTTCAGGTATTTGTCTGTGGCTCTGTTCCTCTGCTAGCTGCCTTTGGAGGTAGGGGCTTTTTTCTCCCCAAATCTGCCTTAAATTCTAGCAGCTTTTTCAGGTCATATTTCTGGGGAGGATTATGTCCCTTCTGTTTCTTCAGAGTCTTTTTCCCAGACAGTTCCCAGTTTGGTCTCAGTTTATCCCCTCTACCCCAGAAAGTTTCCGACACTACAGTGGTGGCTTTCCCTGCTACTGAAGGTAGGGGCTTTTTGTCCGTTTTCGGGGTCTGTGTGGTTTGCATACAGACTGAAAATCTAGCAAGGGAGGTTTTTGCCATTTCTAAACTCCCATTAGGACAGGTGTTTTGCCTTATCCGGCCTTCACCTGACCCAGTCCCCCAGGGGGTTGCATTTGCTTGTCTGGGTGCTCAAGGACAGAGCTTATGCCAGAGGCAATCACCCCTCAAGGCTACACTCCCTCATCTCAGGGAGTCAGTTGAAACAAAGCTTTTCTCAAAGAGGTGCTTTCTCTGACAGAAAAGAAAGCTTTACTCCTGGATAGTTCTGTTCTGCCCTGGCTGGGCTCTTTCCCCAGACAGCGTTCTGACTCAGCAGCACAACTGCTTCAGACACAGTTCAGCTTTACTGTTTTCCCAGAAAGGTCCTTTCTCTAATAGGAAAGCTTTTTCTCAGATTTTTTTGCAGCTGTGGACCTATCAACCCGGGACTTGTAGGAAAGTGGACAACTGTGCCGTTCCCACAGGCTTTAGCTTTGTTTGTTCATTAGCAATCTTCCCCTGGGTCCTGCACCTTCCTGCCTCAGCTCTGTGCTCCAGTAAGTTTACCACTGCAGGAACCCTAGTATCCCCGACATGCACCCCAACTCAGAGACGCTGGCCAGTCGCCTCTGGGTTTTTGGTCAGAAGTGAGGATACAATGCTAACAGTTTGCATTGCTTTAGGGGATCTTTGCATTAGGACGATTAGGAGCACCTTTTCATTCTGAAATGCTCACTCAGAAACAAAACCCTTGATGCCTCAGCTCGGCTGTAACTGAAAAGCTTGGCTTTTTTGCTTTTCTCAGGTAAAGTTTCCGGCCCTTTTGGGCTCTCTGTAGCTCTTTACCCACACTCTCCCAAGCGTTTCCCTCAGGGTACTCTGACCCACTGTTTTTTACCAGCTTGAAGAGACAGCTTAGAGGAGGTTTTTAGGAACTTGTCCCTGCCTCCTGCATTGCAGGGAGGATTTTTAAAGCTTGAAAGAGAACTTGGAGAGGTTTTGCTGTCTTAAGTTTGTTTTGTTTTCCCTTAGAGCTAATCACAGATGGTCCCCACACTAATATCTTCAGGTGATTCTAATTTTTGTCCTTCTGAGAAATTTAAAGGCTTTAGTTTTTAAGTTTGAGAGCTTTTGAGAAAGATTAAGGCTTTTTAGAGATTTTTTTTTCCCCAAATTTTCCAAGAAAAGCTTTATAGTTTAAAAGATTTTTTTTTCCCCAAGAGAAAGACCAACTTTTCCCAAAACTTCCCAACTTTAAACTTTTTGGCTTTTTACACCTCCATTTTTGCCTCAGGGAGAAATCACTTTCTCCTGCCACTTGGACTTAGCATTTCAGCTGTCCCCAGGTCAAAAGCTTCCATAGGAAACTTTTTCTTCCCCATAAGCTCAAAGAAGAGCTTTTTACTACCCATAAAGCCCAAAGATTTTTTTCCCCCCAGTTTGCATTCATAGCCCCCAAAGTTAGAAAATTGAAGAGTTTTTCTGTCTAGTTGCCTTATTTTTTCCTACACAATCTTACACTTCTAAGTTTTTCCTAGACTATATTACTACCCTATGCCTTATTTTTCACAGATAGAAATTGAGAAAGGGATACAAGATAGAAAATTTTGACAGAAGAGAATTTCGCTGCAGCATCGGACATCCTTCCAGTCCGCTTTCCTTTTCTCTCGAGGATAAAACCCCTGCCTCTCAATATATATAAAAAATATATATTTCCATAACACCGGCATGCCTTATCCACTGGCAGGGCTGAACTCAGCACTTTCGCCAAAAACTCTGTAATAAAACTTATTTTCCTTTATCTTTAGTCCCTATTACTTTGTCTTTAGTCCCTGTTCATTTGTCTTTAGTCCCCCTTTTTTTAGTCCCCCCTTTTTTTCTTTAGTCCCTTTTTTTTTCTTTTTTCTTTAGTCCCTGTTCATGGCGCCATTCTGTGGGGCGTTTACCCAACCACCCCCACAGTTCCCCAGAGTTTTCTTGAGTGCGAGCAGCAGGAAATATTAGATAGAAGGATTTATTGCGGAGAATATCGCGGAGATAAACAGATAGAAAATAAAGGATAGCCTCGAGAGGGCCTGGAACCTATTCCAACGGGCCCCGACTGTCTCCGCCCCAGGGTTTTTATAGAGACGCCAAGGGGTGGAGCAAAAGACCTCCTCCCCCAGCACAGCCAAGTGCAGACCATCTCAGACACCTGCACTCAGGCCCGTGGTCCAATCATCCTCTATGCAGACCTGCTGGGTAAAGCCACGAGGAACCCGAGAATGGGCTCCCACAAACTCTTCCTTGGCTACAGAGTGAGTTCGAGACCAGCCTGGGCTACATGAAGCCCTGTCCCTGAAAGGACCCAACGGAAGAAGAGAAAAGGCAGAAGTCGTGTGAAGCTCCGCTGAGTGGCTGCCATCTCCTCTCGAGTGGCTCACTCCATTAGCATCCCTCTCTACCTTCTGCTTTGGACGACCTCCTCTCTCTCTGCTTGCATTTATTTCTTCTTATAGTCTCAGTATAAATTCCTCAGGTTTGCTTTTGACCTGTGTTCACTTTATCTTTTGAAGGATTTTACCTGTTTTGTTGACTTTCAGCTCTCATGTCTATAAAATAATTTGCAAATCTATATCACCAGTTCTGTAATTTGTAGTGTAGCCCCAGACCTTCAGCATCTTTTTGAAGTTTTACTTAGATTTTACCTTAAAATTACTGTGACCATACCAGTTAACTCTGCTTCCTAAATTCTTTGCCTGTTAATTAACATTAATAAACACCATTTCCTTAGATATTCAGACACAGAGTCTTAGACTAATATCTTGGTTTCACCGAGATACTTGGCTGGTTTTTGTTGTTCTTGTTGTTTTGACTGACTGTGTGTTTGTTTGAGATGGTCTCACAGTGTAGCCATGGCTGGCCTGATATTCACTATGCAGACAAAGCTAGCTTTACACTGTGTTAGTCCTTCTGCCTCAACCTTCCAAGTGCTGGGATTGTAGATGTATATTACCATGTCCAAGTCACAATTCTTTTGAAAATGGTTAAGATAACTTACTGCTCTTGCAGAGGACCTGTGTTTAATTCCAGAAACTATATGAGTATAACACCCTCATCTGGCCTCTGTAGGCCCTGTATACATGTGGTGCACAGATATATATGTAGGCAAACCACCCATATAGATAAAATAAAAATAAATAAAATCCCCCCAAAATTAAATGTTATAAAAAAGAGTATTAGATATAATGAAGTTCTTGTGCAAGATTTTTTTAGAACACATAGTCATTGGATTTTAGATAGATTCTTGGCATCATATAAAAAAATCACAAAGAATCAGTACTCGATTTGATCTCGGGTAGAATTTTAGACATCCAAGAGGATGGATATATTACATATTCTTCAAGCTTTTTCTTCTAAAACTTACTTCTCGTATGGCAGTGAATGTGTTATTATATACTCTTCCATCTGTTTGATGGTACTGTTTGAGTTCAGACCACTACAGGCCAGCGGTGAGGAAGTGACTTGATGCTATTTCACCTTAGAGAATTATCTTGTTAAATTTACTGTTCACTGAAATGTATTTGCCAATGATTTTCTTTCTTTCTTTTTGTGTGTGTGGGGGCGGTAACAGCTTTAATCTGTCATGGCTGACACATGGGACAGAATCCTGCTGGCCTCCCATCCTTCCAACCAATGATTTTCTTATGTGATTTCTCCTTGTACAGAAAATTGGAGATTCCTACCGTGGCTACTGTGTCAGTGAGACTGAACTAGAAAGCATCCTCACTTTTCATAAGCAGCAAACCCGGAGTGTCTGGGGCACTCGCCAGTCTCCAAGCCCAGCCAAACCTGCCACGCGCTTGATGTGGAAGTCCCAGTATGTGCCCTACGATGGCATCCCATTTGTCAATGCAGGTAACTCCATTAGTTACTTAAAGGCCCAGCAGCTGCGCTCTGTTGTGAAAATAGGATTTTTGTGAGATACATTTCATTTTGGTAGGTGAGAATTGAATTTTAATTGCTGAAAATGAATGAATATTAAACTAAAAAGAAAACATAGCAAATATAACCAATTACTTTGTCATAAAATTATGTTTTAATCCATAATACCAAGTAAATAATATTTCACTTGTATAGTATGTTAATAAATAGAACTTTAAATTCCAAGTAGACCTATAGACAATATCACATAATCAAAAAAATAATCCTTTATAGTCACACTAACAGAAATAAATCATCTCTCAGATAGATAGACGATAGCTATATAGACAGACACACAAACACATAATTTCGTTGTTTAGATCAGATTCTGCAGCCAAGTAAGTTCCAAAACCTTTGTTTTCTGAATTTTTTACGTTTCAGATTTACTCATAAAGAATTAATTTGCTTGAGGGGTGGGCTGGAGAGATGACTCAGAGGTTAAGAGCATTGGCTGCTCTTTCAGAGGTCCTGAGTTCAATTCCCAGCAACCACATGGTGGCTCACAACCATCTGTAATGAGATCTGGTGCCCTCTTCTGGCATGCAGACAGAACACTGTGTACATGATAAATAAATAAATCTTAAGGAAAAAAAAGCATTAACATGCTGATTTTCATTCCTGTTGGCAATGTTATAAATGTCTCTACATTCAATCCTTGGTTTAGTATATCCAGACTTTAAAGCACTGGAGCATAACTTTACAACCCAGCACTCTGGAAACAGGCAGGAGGCCCTCTAGGAGTTCAAGGCCAGCCAGGGCTACATGGTGGACCCTCTGTCAAAAAAATAAAACGAAAAGATTATGTTATGGGAATTTTCATATGTATCAAAAATGGAGATAAGAATATAAAAAATGTTCTGGAATCTATCATGTAGCTTCAACAGCTGTCAGCTGTTTTTAAACCAGATTTTTGTGATATGATTATTTATGTATGTGTTTGTTCTGTCGGCTTTATTTATTTATTTATTTATTTATTTATTTATTTATTTATTTATTTTTTGGTTTTTCGAAACCGTTTCTCTGTGTAGCTTTGTGCCTCTCCTGGAACTCACTTGGTAGCCCAGGCTGGCCTCGAACTCACAGAGATCCGCCTGGCTCTGCCTCCCGAGTGCTGGGATTAAAGGCGTGCTGCCGCCACCGCCACCACCACCACCACCACCACCACCACCACCACCACCACCACCACCATCACCACCACCACCACCCGGCCTGGCTTTATTTTTTTTTTAATTGTTTATTTCCACCTTCATTCCTACAAAATCCTAGCCCAGGTTACTCTTGTCTCATCTTTGTCCTTCCCAAACATGTGACAACCCTGACATCAAACTTTAAAATAATTAATAGAGTGAGACTTGATGACACAGACCTTCAAACCTAGCACTCAGGAGGCAGAAGCAGGTAGAGCTCTGTGAGATCAAGGCCAGCCTAGTCTACATAGTGAGTTATAGGCCAACCAAGGCTACTTAGTGAGATCCTGTCCCTAAATGTCTTAGTTAGGGTTTCTATTGCTGTGAAGAGCACCATGTCCATAGCACCTCTTATAAAGGAAAACATTTAACTGGGGTGACGGCTTACAGTTCAGAGGTTCAGTCCATTGTTATCAAGGTGGGGAGCATGGTGGCAGACAGACAGACACGGTGCTGGAGCGGTAGCCGAGAGTTCTACATTTGGATCAGAAGGCAGCAGGAAGAGAGAGTAACACTCAGTGAAGCTTAAGCAAGAGACCTCAAAGCCCATCTCCTCAGTGACGCACTTCCTCCAACAAGGCCACACTTCCCAATAGTGCCACTCCCTGTGAACTTATGGTGGACAATTACATTCAAACTACCACACTAAACAACAAAAAATAAAAAATAAATATTAGTTTATACTAATATTATAAAGTCACCAACAATCCCTTTAAACAGAGGTCTTACATTTTAGTGTCAGCTTTATTAATTTTTTTATTTATGATTGACAATTTTATATGTATTTTTGGGGTTCTTTTTATGGATATGTTGCTAGAGTTCTACACATATGCAGTGCCCACAGATGCTAGAAGAGGGAATTGGATCCTCTGGAACTCGAGTTACAGACGCCTGTGAACCACCATGTAGGTGCTGGGATCTTACAGGTGCAGGGTCCTCTGGAAGAGTAGCCAGTGCTCTCAGCCACTGAGCATCTCTCCAGCTATTTTTTATGTCTTAAAAGTCGGTTGTCACTGGGCAGTGGTGGCATACGCCTTTAATCCCAGAACTTGGGAGGCAGAGGCAGGCAGATCTCTGTGAGTTTGAGGCCATCCTGGGCTATAGAGTGAATTCCAGGAAAGGTGCAAAGCTACACGGAGAAACCCTGTCTTGAAAAACCAAAAGAAGAAATAAGAAAATCAATAAATTTTGAAACAGGAAGTAAAGGGGCTAAAGAAATGAGTCAGCAGCTAAGAGCACTTCTGCCCCTGCAGAGGACCTGGGTTCAGTTCCCAACTTCCACACCAGGTATCCCAAACCATCTATAACTCCAAGTTCATGGGATCCAGCACCCTCTGGCCCCCATAGGCACCTGCACACACTTGGTGCACATAAACTCTTAAAGGTATACACACAAACACAAAAACAAAAATCTTTTTCTTTTAATTTTGTTTGTTAAGGAAATTAGGGGCTGGAGAGATGGCTCAGTGCTTAAGAGTACTTGTTGCTCTTGCAGTGGACCAGGTTCTGTTCCCAGCACCCATATGGTGGCTCACAATCATTAACTCCAGCTCCCGGGGATCAGATGCCTCTTCTTACCTCTGTGGGCAACAGGCACGCACATGTACACATATGCGCATTCAAGCAAAACACTCATATACATAAAATAAAGTAAATCTAAAAAATTTTTTAAGGGAATTAAGATTTTTTAAATAGTATTAACAATTAACCAAATGTAACATTTGCTAATTTCAACTTATAAAGTGGTACATTCAGTATTATTAAAAATCATATGTCTCACTTGGCACATACCTTTAATCCCAGCACTCAGGAGGCAGAGGCAGGAGGACCTCTGTGAGTACAAGGCCATCCTGGTTTACAGAGTGAGTTCCAGGACAGCCAGTGCTACACAGAAAAACCCTGTCTTGAAATAACAAATAAAATAAAATCATATGTCTCTATGTATCAGTAAATGAGATATTTATTAATTACTTACCATGATTATGGCATATTTGATAAATTTTATATAAATTTAAATTTGTCTGTTTGCATTTTTAGTAAGAAATACTGATGTTTTTGTTCCATAATCTTATATAATTAAAAGTATAGATTTTGAAATTGCCACAACCAAGTTTTTAACAATCTGTCTAGATTATTTAAGCAGATAAATTACTGCATTGGTTGGTTTGGGTCCACAGGTAGTCGAGCTGTAGTAATGGAGTGTCAGTATGGACCAAGAAGGAAAGGTTTCCAGTTAAAAAGAATCAGTGAGCAAGAAAGCAGGTCTTGTCATCTCTACAAAGCTACTTGTCCAGCCAGGTAAGCTTATTTTATCTCACTTAATTTTTTTAATTAAAGTCTTATTTTTGAATTGCAAACAGAAGCATTTTTATTAAGTTTAAATAGTTAAATTGTGTGCAGTGAAGTCTAGGTTTTCCTCTCACTGTTTTGTATATTCCTCATTAAAGCCTCAACTCTTAACAGTTTTTTGTGTCATTTTGCAAAGATTTTTCTATATATGAATGTGTATGTGTGTGAATATACACATATCTTCTTCTACCCTAAAAGGTCAGGAAAGCCCACTAATGTTTTCTTTCCTTAAAGTGAGATAATCATGTTCCCTCTCCCCTGTTGTCTGAAAGCCTGTCGTAAGTGTCTATCTTAGTCAGGGTTTCCATTGCTGTCAAGAGACACCATGACCATGCCAACTCTTATAAAGGAAAACATTCAGTTGGGGCTGGCTTACAGTTTCATAGGTACAATCCATTATCATCATGGTGCGATGTGGCAGCATGCAGGCAGACATGGTGCTGGAGAAGGAGCTGAGAGTCCTGCATCTTGCACCAACAACAAGAAGTGAACTGAAACACTGGGTGTGGCTTGAGCATATATGAGACTCAAAGCCCGCTTCCACAGATACACACTTCCTCCAACAAGGCCATACCTACTCCAACAAAGCCACACCTTCTAAAATTGCCACTCCCTATGAGCTTATGGGGACTAGTTACATACAAACTACCACAGTGTCTAATGCACAGATATCAAATTGCTGACTAGTGTTCATACGACATATACTAGTTACTAAACACTCTGTTTTCATTTCTAGTAGATCTTTAAAGTGGCTTCATATCGGCATATGAGTATTTTTTTCTTTTAAATAGCTGTGTAATATTCCATTTGTAAGCATACCATTTAATTAATCCTCTATGGATAGATATGTAAGCTATGAAAAAAATTGGTTTTTTTGAGATAGGATCTCCTATCCCTCAGGCTAGTTTCACACACTGTGTAGCCAAGGGTGGCCTTGAATTCCTTATCCTCCTGCCTCTGCCTCTGTCTCTTTAATGCTGCGATTTACAGATGTATACCAACATGACTAGTGACAAATTCTTTTATTAGGTTCAAAACCACAATCAATAATCTTAAGTTTATTAGTAGGATAAATCCCTAGAATGGTAATTGTTAGGGAAAGGTTATGTACTTTTAAAATGTTGACAAAGAAAACTTGCTTCTAAGAGAGGTTTTACCAATTTACATTCACACCAGCAATGTGTGAGAGCAGTAGTAACTTTAGATAGAGAACTAGGTTGTCATTGCTCTGGGTGAGAATAAAAAATGTGAACCAATGAAAGATTTTTTTCTTAATGTTCTATACTAATACTCTTTTAGACATTGAAAATGTTCAAAATTATTAGTAAAATGAAAACTGTTAAAGGCATATTGTGCTGAGGGATACAGATAGCTCAGGGGTACAGCGTGCACAAAGCCCTGAGCCAAATCTGCAGCACTTCAAAAGAATCAAGCAGTATGCACTGAATGTGCTGCCTCATGCCTGTGATCCCAGGCTTGGAAGGTTAAGGGGAAAAGAATCATTGGAGCCTAGACATTTTAGTTCAGCCTGAGCAACAAGGACCCTTCGTCAAACAAAACAAAGATAGTGTGTTATGGTTGGACTTAGTGGATAACTGAAGCATTACATTTCAGCATCACATGTATCACACACTTAAGCATTCTTGTGTTTTAAAAGACTGGAGGCTGGAGAGATGCTTCAATGGTAACCTGCTCATGCAGAGGACTTGGATTTGGTTCCCAGTACCCACATGGTGGCTCGCAAACATCTGTGACTCCAGTTCCAGGGAATCTGATGCCTCTTCTGACCTCAATGAACTCCTGCTCTCTTGTGGTACACATACATACCCTCAGGCGTGCACGCACACACGCACGCACGCACGTATGCGCATGCACACATACACACACAAAATAAAATAAATACTTTTAAAAGACCGGTGTGGTGGTGCACACCTGTAATCCCAGCACTGGGAGGTAGAGAAAGAAGTGGCATGAGTAACACAAAATAAATAAGTCAATAAAATGGAATAAACTTTAAGGGATCGGAGAGATGATGTAGCACTTAGGAGCACTGACTGATCTTATTGAGAACTTGGGTTCAGTTTCCACCACCCACATGGTGGTTCACAACCATCCAGAACTAGTTCCAGGGACTAGTTCCAGGGACTCCAAAGCCCTCCTCTGACTGCTGCACTCACGTGGTGCACAGACATGCATGCAGGCAAGACACCCATACACATAAAACAACAAAGTAATTTTTTTTTAATTTAGTGTCTTATGAGATAGCTAGAATATTGTAAAGAAATTTGTACTTGATTAAAAATACAGAGAGATTCTTCAACATAGGAATACAAATAAATGGGAAGAACTATTGTGTACTTTTTTTTTTTTGAAAGAGTCTCTTGCTGTCCTGGAACTCTCTATGTAGATCATGCTGGCCTTGAACTCATAAAGAAAGATCTTCCTGCCTGGGATTAAAGGTATTGGTCACCAAGAGTAAATTATGTGTTGTTGTTGGCCTGGCAGTGGTGCTCGCCTTTAATCCCAGCACTCAGGAGGCAAAGGCAGGTGGATCTCTGTGAGTTTGAGGTTAGTCTAGTCTACAGAGCAAGATCTAGGACAGCCAGGGCTACACAGAGAAATCCTGTCTCGGAAAAAAAAAAAGAAAAAGTGTCATTGTTGTATTCAATGAATTTAGATAATGGAAGTTTAAAGGCAATCAACTTGGAAGAAGTTCCTTAAACTAAATGTGAATTATGGCTTCCAGGACAGTAAAGACGAAAAAAATTCATAAAAATTAACTATTGCCGGGCGGTGGTGGTGCACACCTTTAATTCCAGCACTCAGGAGGCAGAGCCAGGCGGTTCTTTGTGAATTTGAGGCCAGCCTGGTCTACAGAGCGAGATCCAGGACAGGCACCAAAACTACACAGAGAAACCCTGTCTCGAAAAAAAAAAAAAAAATTGACTATATTTAGATACTTATACTCAATTTGTGATAATTGTTAATTTTGTAAGTACCATGCACTTAATATGACATCTTTCCTAAGCTTCTGAATACTAAATTAATTATTCTCTAACTTTTCTGTTTGAACTGTTTGTTGGTGTTAGGTATTTCTTGAGATTATAAGAAACAGTTTCTTCCTTGTCTTGTATAAAGGATTTACATTAAAAAGGTACAGAAGTTCCCTGAATATAGAGTGCCTACAGACCCCCAGATAGACAGGAAGATCATCAGAATGGAGCAGGAGAAAGCCTTCACCATGCTGAAGAAGAACATGGTAGATGCTGGTGGTGTCCTTCGGTATGGCATTCGTACAGCTCTTTCATTTTCTGATTAGCATCATTAACAAGCACTCTTCTTACACTTATGTTTTCAATGATCTCATTAAGGACTGGTTTTAGAAATTAGATACCTTGCCAGTATTAAACTTACTTGCTATGTATATGTTTTGACTTTACCACCTAAAAATTGTAAATAATCTAACTGTACATCGTTGACTACTGTGACAGCCATCTGTGAAGTTTCAGCCCTACATAAAATTCCATTTTATGCTTCATGTTTTAAATAGAAGGAGCTATAATATTTCTGGCTTACTGTCCTTTACTTGTCAATGTCAATTCATGTGAAGAATTTATTATTGTGTAACGAGGTCAAATATAAGGAAAACTTTTGTATGCTCTTTTATAAAGATTTAAAAGTGAAGTCAAAGCCGGGCGGTGGTGGCGCACGCCTTTAATCCCAGCACTCGGGAGGCAGAACCAGGCGGATCTCTCTGAGTTTGAGGCCAACCTGGGCTACAGAGTGAGTTCCAGGAAAGGGGCAAAGCTACACAGAGAAACCCTGTCTTGGGAAAAAAAAAAAAAAAAGTGAAGTCAATAATTAGATCCTTCAATTTTTAAAACATGTCACTCTAAACTTTTTTTTAATTCTTAGATTTTTAAATTTTATTTTGTGTTGAAGAGGTTTTCCAGCATGTGTATATGGACCACGTGCATGTTTGATACCGTGGAGGTAAGAAAAGGGCATTGAATCTCCTGAAACTTGAGTTATAGATGGTTGTGAATCACCCTGTGGGTGCTGGGAATCAAAACCAGGGCCTCTGCAAGAGCACCAAGTGCTCTTAACTGAGTTATCTCTCCAGCTCCATACTAGACAAAGTTTAATTAGGCTCTGTTTTGTTTATATCAAGCAGAAATACAGGGGGCCAGTGAGATAGCGCAGTGAGTTCAGTCCCCAGGACCCACATGATAAAAGGAAAGAACTGACTCCTTTAAGTTGTTCTCTGACCTCCACATGTGTGACTACACACACACACATACACACATAATAAATGTGAAAGGGAAGGGGCTTGGTGTGAGCTCAGCGATAGAGCACTGTCTTAGCCAAGTGCTTAGCCCAAAGTTAAATCCCAAGCAACACACACATACACCACACACACACACACACACACACACACACACACACACACACACACACACACTTGTACAAAAATATCTCTTAAGTTGGGCATGGTCTCAGGGGGCAGAGGCTGGTGGATCTCTGAGTTCAAAGCCAGCCTAGTCTGCATACCAAGTTCTAGGCCAGTCAGAGCTACACAGTGAGACCCTGTCTCAAAAACAAAAACAACAACAACAAAAGAAAAATCCGTTAAAACGGTACTCTACCAGACTGATTGATTTTCCTAGCATCAATCTCTTGCACTATTGTATATGAGACGTGTTCACAATTTAGCTGATTCTCTCACTCATTGGACCAACAGGAATTGAGAATGCTTTGTTTATTTACTTATTTATTTTATGTGTATTGATGTTTTGCCTGCGTGCGCACACATGTGTGTGTGTGTGTGTGTGTGTGTGTGTGTGTGTGTGTAAAACATGTGCATGCCTGGTACCTACCTAAGTTAGAAGAGAGCTTTGGATCCCTGGAGCTGGAGTTACAGATGGTTGTGAGCTACCGTGTTGATGCTGGGACTCAAAGCCCAGACCTCTGCAAGACCAGCAAGTGCTCTTAACTTCCGAGCATCTCTCTACCCTCGTAAATGTGTAAATCCCTGCATTGCCTTAACTCTAGGGTCATAGTGAAAGTTTATGAAGTTACTTTTTAATTGAGTATAAAGTCAATCTTAGAAGAGTTGAACATAAGACATTTTAAATTTTATTCCACATGGCAAAATCATATTATTTTTGCTTAAAAGATTGTTCCTTCTCTTAATGAGTATTAACCTAAGTAATTAGGATTCCCATCTTTGTCTAATTTTAATATTTAAATGTTGACAGTTTCGAATGTTTTCTCTTATCAGATGGTATGTGCAGTTACCTACACAGCAAGCTCATCAGTATCATGAACTGGAGACTCGGGGCCTCCCTCTCTCACCGGCTCCTTTTCCTGTGTCTGCTCCTGAGGAAGAGGAAACTGTAGTCAGAGATGAGAACTGTGCGTTGCCCTCACGCCTCCACCCGCAAGTAGCGCATAAGATTCAGGAGCTAGTGTCACAGGGCGTGGGACACGTGTACGCAGTGAGGAAGCAGCTCAGGTACAGGAGCACAGTGTCCCTTTATACCTGACCTAGGTTGTGGGCGCCGGACAGCAGCTTTCCAGGACGTGTGCTGTTAGACGGATGGGGCGTGTTTCTTCACCTTTCCTATCAACGCTATTTTCGGCAAGCTTCACACAGTAGTTCTTACTATCATTCCAAATACTCTTTTGAGACACTACATCTGGCACATTGGACTACTTCTACATAATGAATTTGTTTTATTTTATTTTATTTTACTAGCTAAGGTCTTACTGGCCTTTAATTCACTTACCTCTCCCAGGTTGACTTCCAAATTTCAGCAGTTTTCCTATCTCATGTAACCAACTGCTCGGATTATAGGTGTGAGCTACTGTCCCTGAATGAATTGAATGACATGATACATATTTTAGAGAGAAAAAACTTGTAGAATCAGAAAATTAAAAACCTAGTCTAAAATAATTATTTCAAATTATTTGACATGAAATAAAATTTATTATAAGGTGAGTATGATCAAAATAGAATATGTACATGTATGAAGTTCTCAAAAAACTTAATTAAAATATTTGATTTTAAAAAAGATAATAAGCTAAACTATTTACTATAACAATGTGTAATGTTATATTAAATTATGTATATGTTATGTATCACTACAATATTAATTAAACAAATTATCTTGAGTACCATTAAAGTTACTTCAAAATGCTATAAATAAAAGTTCCGTTAGACTGGAGGTAGTGGCGCACGCCTTTAATCCCAGCACTCAGGAGGCAGAGGCAGGTGGATCTCTGTGAGTTCCAGGCCAACCTGGTCTATAGAGCAAGTTCCAGGACAGCCAAGGCTACACAGAGAAATTCTGTCTTGAAAACAGAAAAAGAAAAAAGTGTTTCACTAGATGAGGAACTATCCAGATTAACTACAATAATAATTAATGTAATAAGGCAATTACTATGTATATCAGGTATTCTGCCAAACCTTTAAATATGTAATTTTTCAACAGCTTAGTAAAGATGATGCATTTATCCTTATTTGACACATGAGAAAATGGAAATTAAGAACTGCTAAATAATTGACTTGAAAGAGTCAGAGTTGAAAGCGGGGTCTAGTTCTGCAGCCTGTGTAATGTTGTAATCCCTGCTCCTTCACTGCTATTGTGTAGTGAAATCTGAATAACACAATGAGTGCTTCCAGGAATGACTTTTTGTTTGTTTGTTTGAGAGTAGGTCTCACTGTATAGCCCTGGCTAGATTGCAGCTCACTATATAGACCAGGCTGGCCTTGAACTCATGGAGATCCACTTGCCTCCATGTCCCGAGTGCTGGGATCAGAAGTGCACACAGCTGCAGCCAGCAGACAAGCATTACTTTTTTAGTCACCTTTCTGTTTAGAAGCTTTTCCCAGTGAGGGGCTTACAGAACAAAGCCAACATTTAGTAAAGCCATCCGCTGTTGACTAAAATGTGGCCAATCTACTTATTCAAAATTATTTAAAAAGAGGCTCAATGAAAACAGAAAAGCAATACAACTGCAGTTTGATCCCATAAATATAATGCATAAAGCACACATGTATTAAACTGAGATTTATGTATTTATTTTATGTCATTGTGTAGTAATGCTACCTTTCTTACAGTATCTTGCCTTCCGAAATCTTACTGTCTCACAGTATTCAAACCATCAAATTTCATGTAATATTAATTGGTGCCTTTTGGAAGCAGTGTAACATGATGCTTATGTATACAAATTGGAATAGGTCTGTGTTTTCTCACTTATTAAGTAGGTATATAAGGCAGGGCAACTTCAACTTGGGCAATCTTTAGCTCCCTCATCTGTAAAGTGGGATTGATCATTATGTCTGGTCACATGATCACAGTAATAGAGGAAATACCTGTAGTGTGTTCAAAATTGTGTCTGACATGATAAGCATTTAAAACCATTATAATGTTCAAACTGAGGATTGTGGTTCAAGTTTAATTCATAAAAATGTCAAAGCTTGCCGGGCGATGGTGGCACACGCCTTCTAATCCCAGGACTCGGGAGGCAGAGGCAGGCGGATCTCTGTGAGTTCGAGGCCAGCCTGGTCTACAGAGTGAGTTTCGAGACAGCCAGGGCTGTTACACAGAGAAATTATGTCCCAAAAACAAACAAAATGTCAAAGCTCTGTAGTATGTGTGCTTTGAACTAATTAAAATAGCACCTTTCTTTATCCTGTATTAATTCTGTTTTAGTGAATAGAAAGAAATCCAAAGTGGCTAATATTTTATTATTTACAGAACTATGAGTCATACTTTATAAAAGCTTATGTTGAAAGAGAACCTTTCTTTCAATCTGTGTTTCATTACAGTTATATTTTTATTTTATATCCTTCGCAGGAAATTTGTGGAAAGAGAACTGTTCAAACCTGATGAGTTACCTGAAAGACATAATTTATCATTTTTTCCAACTGTAAATGATATAAAAAATCATATCCACGAGGTACAGAAATCATTGAGGACTGGAGATGTGGTATATAACTCAGAGGTGATTCCAGCAACGGTATGATCACACCCACTTCTTTGATTCATTAATCTTTCTCAGCTCCTGTTAATACATTAGCAAATCTCTAGCTCCCGGTAATACTCGGCCTAGTAGAAAGGGCTCTTGTTACACCATCTCAATTACTATGATTTAAGGAAATAGACTAGGTAAGTTTGTAACATATGAATACTACAAGCTCTCAGATAATGACTTGGCTGAATATTCCTTACTACTCTCACAAGGAAAAGAAACAGTGGATTTCCAAATCTGAGTCTAACAGAGAGAAGAATCAGTATTTTTTTTTAATGAGGACTATTTCTTACTTAGTTTACAGACATTTATTGAGCACATACCGAGTATATTCCTTGCTCCATTTTTAAAAATAGATGGTCAGGGTTAAGTCGTTCAGGTTCAGATGCACAAATGCTGATGTAGCTCTGTGTGCCTTATATGAATATCAGTGTTTGCCTTGTATTTGTCTGTTGTAGCTTCTCTGTCACTGTGAGTCGTGTCTGAGATAATTTGACTGTAGTTATCCAGACGTAGTGATTACAGTAGAGGTAGTAACTTAGGAGTCAAAATCCGAGGAGCACTAACCTTTGCCTTCCTGACTTCTCACTTGCCAGGTTTTAGTATCTGAACATTTTTGAGTTGTACTTTTTTTTTTTATGTATGTGGATGCTCTGCTTGCATGCCTGGGGCCCATGGAGGCCAGAAGAGGGTGTCAGATTCCCTGAACCTGCAGGTTAAAGGTGGTCGTGAGCCACTATTACGGGTGCTGGGAATCAAACCTGGGTCCTCTGGAAGATCAGCTGAGCCATCTCTCCAGCCCTAGTACTTGGATATTTCAAATGCTGGACCTACTGGGGTGGTTTTTGTTTGTTTGTATTATATCCAGACTTAATTATTACGGTACATAATTCAAGAAATAAATAAATAGATTTGCCATCTACACTTCCTATCCAAATTGTTGACATCTGAATTCACAGACCCTAACATAGTGAGACATACCTAAGCTTTAAGAATGTAAACAAGGGTTGGTTGGGGATTTAGCTCAGTGGTAGAGCGCTTGCTAGAGGCCCTGGGTTCGATCCTCGGCTCAAAAAAAAAAAAAAAAGAATGTAAACAAGTAGAGGGTGATCACACAACAAAGCACAAGTGTAATGAAAATAAAATAGGAAGGGGGGGCTCACTCTGTAAAGTGTTTGCCTCATAAGCACGATCATCTAAGTGTGATCCCCTAGAACCCATATACAAATGCTGAGTATGGTAGGTGGGAACTTACAGTCCCAGTGCTAGGGAGGTGGAGACGGGAGTGGAGCTGCCTGACTGGTCACTCTAGCCAAATTGGTGAGCTCCAGGCCCGTGAAAGATGCCATCTGAATGGAAGTAGACTCAGTGTTGTCCACTGGTTTCCATATGTGTGCCAAGGCATGTGTGTGCATGAGACACAAAATAAGTATATAAGTGTAAATTTGTGAAAGAAGATATGATAGTTGTATTAATGTTTTAAGATAATTTTCAGTGTAACTACTTTGTTTTTACTGAAACAAATGTTCTGATTTCAGCTTCAGTGGACCACAGATAGTGGGAATATTCTCAGAGAGACTGTAACAGTTACATTTGCAGAAGGTAGGTTATTTTTGGATATTTTTATAACATAAAAATCAATTGGTGTTATATCTGGAAAGAACTTTAGCTATCTTATAGAATCAGTTTTAAGGAATTTTTTGTATGTGTGCTCATGTGTACAGGTGTATATGCGTGTGTGAAGGCCAGAGGTCAATGTCAGGAGTCCACCATTACTCCCCATATCTTCTATTTATTTTTTGGGGACCTGGCTTTATCACTAAACCTGGAGCTCACTGAGCTGGTCAGCAAGCCCCTGGGCTGTCCTGTAGCTGGAGAATTTCTCTCCAGCTCCCTCTAAGTCCCGCCAGTCCCGGAGCCCACTTACAAAATAAACACATAGACTCTTACATTATTTAAACTGTTTGGCCATTAGCTCAGGCTTATCATTGTCTAGCTCTAACTCTTATATTTAGCCCATTTCTATTAATCTTTACTTTGCCACGTGGCTCGTGGCTTACCAGTACTTTACATCTTCCTTGTCCTGGCGGCGGCTCCAGGCGGTCCCCTCTTCCTTCCTGTTTCCTCTTTTCTCCTCTCCCTTAGTCCCGCCTATACTTCCTGCCTGGCCACTGGTCAATCAGTGTTTATTTATACAGAGTGATATCCACAGCACTGTCCCTTCTGAACTGCTCCCCTAGAGCTGGGTTCACAGACACTCATGGCTGTGCCTGGCATTTACGTGGGGGCTGGGGATCCGAACCCACGTCCTCATGCTTGCCCATCAAGTACTTTACTCCCTGTGCCCTGTCCCTGACTATCGTGTAATCAAATTTTATAGATGAGGAGACCTGACTCTAAAGAGGGAAAGAGTAGCTATGTTGGAATTTATCAAAGTATTTCTAGAACCTTTATGGTTCTTTATGACCAAAAAAAAAAAAAAAAAAAAAAAATGGTTTGTTGCTGAGTGATAGTATCTAGTTGGCCTAGAACTTGTGATTCTCCTGCCTCAGCCCCTGAAATGCTAGGATTCTAAACATGTGCCACCATGTCTGTCTGTAACTGAAATTTGAGGCCGTATTAGCATAGTCAACCAGAAGAATGGTCAATGCATCTTGATCTGCAAACTGTTGTCTACTTGGGGTTGTTTGCTTTTCTCAGGCAGGTTTTCTCTCTGTAGCTCCAGCCGTCCTAGAATTTGCTCTGTGGACGAGGCTGGCCTTGAACTCACAGAGATCCGCCTGCCTCTGCCTCCCAAGTGCTGGGATAAAGGTGTGCACCACCACTGCTCACCTGTCTCATATGTTCTTAACTCCTATGTTCCTGAAATATTTGAAGCTTCTTTTATTTGTTTGTTTGTTTTTGTTTACTCTTTTATGTGTGTTCTGTCTCCTGGAAATGTCTTCTCTCTTTTCTGTGTAGGAAATTCTCTTCTCACACAGAACAGTCTCTGGTTTTGAGTGTTTTCTAACCTTGTCTTTTACATTAAAGGAGCTCCTGTTTATGTTACGTTTACCTCAGTACCTACTGTGATAGGCTGCTGTTGACACATTTGTAGCTTTAGGTGTTATTCAGGCTCTTCAGAGGCAAGGGTGTATATATATATATATAGTTAATCAAACTAAGTTTCTAGAGGATAATGTCTGCTAAACCGCTAACACCATAATCACTCTAGAATCAATTAATGGATAACTGTATGCAGAGTATTTTCTGCCACTTGTTAACCTCCACAGGTCACCTCACGGCTGTGCTAGTTCTTACATGGGTACTGTACACAGATGCTTTTTGGCATCACCTGTGCGTTTTAATTTATTGTTGCTGTGCTAAGTGTGAGCAGGTTCCTCCTTCATGGACTAAAGGTTAGCAAAGAAAAAACACTAAACAAATGTTTTCTAATTAATTAGTATTGTGAAAAGTGCCGTGTGAAAACTGTGCTAGAGACATACACTAGGGGGAAGGGGCGGGAGGGTGTCGCTCTTGAAAATGTCATTTTTAGAGCTGGGTGCAGTGGCGCACGCCTTTAATCCCAGCACTTGGGAGGCAGAGTTAGGCAGATCTCTGTGAGTTTGAGACCAGCCTGGTCTACAAAGTGAGTTCTAGGACAGCCGGAGCTACATAGTAAGACCCTGTCTAGAGGAGAGAGAAAAAAGAAAAGGTCACTTTTAAGCCTGAGAACTAAAGAATGAATTATAATTTTTTTTTCTTTCTTTCTTTTCTTTTTTTCCAAACAAGATTTCTCAGTATAACAGTCCTGGCTGTCTTGGAACTCTCTTTGTAGACCAGACTGGCCATGAACTCACAGAGATCTGCCTACCTCTGCCTCCTGAGTGCTGGGATTAAAGATACGTGCTACCACCACCCTGCTGAATTAGAATTTTCTTTCTTTCTTTCTTTTTTTTTTAGAAGATTTATTTATTTATTATGTATACAGGAGAGGGTGCCAGATCTCATTACAGATGGTTGTGAGCCACCATGTAGGTGCTGGGAATTGAACTCAGGACCTCTGGAAGAACAGTCGGTGCTCTTAACCTCTGAGCCATCTCTCCAGCCCAGAATTTTCTAATCAGTGGAATGGCATGTGTCAACACCAAAGCAAAAAAAAAAAGTCATGTTTAAGAAACTTTAGGCCGGGCGGTGGTGGCGCACGCCTTTAATCCCAGCACTCGGGAGGCAGAGCCAGGCGGATCTCTGTGAGTTCGAGGCCAGCCTGGGCTACCAAGTGAGTTCCAGGAAAAGGCGCAAAGCTACACAGAGAAACCCTGTCTCGAAAAACCAAAAAAAAAAAAAAAAAAAAAGAAACTTTAAAAAGAGGGAGGTGGGTAGGCTGGCTGGAGAGGTGGCTCAGTGGTTAAGAACACTGGCCGCTCTTCCAGACAACTCAGGTTCATTTCCCAGCACCCATATAGCAGCTCACAATTGTCTGTAACTCCAGTCCAGGGGATCCTACACCCTCATACAGACATGCATGCAGGCAAAGTACCAATTCACATTTAAGAATAAAAACAGTAACAAAAGAAAGAAAGAAAGAAAGAAAGAAAGAAAGAAAGAAAGAAAGAAAGAAAAAAAGCATGTAGCTTTTTTTTTTTTAAAGAAACTTAAAAAAACAGAAACTTAAGAAGGCTGATATAGATTTAGTATAGAAAATGTTTGGAATTAAAACTGGATTATTTTTTGTTATGTACATATATGTATTTACATATTCCTAACAACAATTAATGAAAAAAGAGGCCATGAATTTGAAAGGGAGCAAGGAGGCATATATGGGGTTGGAAGGAGGAAAGAGAAAGAGGAAATGATGTATTTATACTGTAATTTCAAAACATAAAAGAAATAATTTTTACAAATAAATCAACAAAACAAAAACACAGCTGCTTTGCTGTGTCAGTGAAAATGATGACGGTAATGTGGACTCAGTTGATGGCATATGCTCTGAACTTAGACACATTGAATAGCTTATCAATGACAATATCTCTAGACCTCACTCTAGATGTACTCAATTAAAAATCTGGGTGGATGAGATGGCCCAGCCAGTAAAGACATTTGCTGCCAAGCCTGACTGAGAAACTGAATAAAATACATGGAAATTAAGGACTAGATTGTAACAGTGTGGAGTGTTAGTCTGACATGCACAGGCCCCGGTTTAGGCCCCATCATGGAAAGAGGGGGGAGGGAGGGAGGGAGGGAGGCAGGGAGGGAGGGAAGGACGGGGGAGGGATAGAGGGAGATGGGAAGGGAGGAAGAACAGAAGGTAGGGTATCCTCTTTTGCCTTCTGTTGCTGTGGTAAACACTATGAGTAAAAGCAACTCAGAGGAAAGAGTCTATTTTATCTTACAGCTCCCAGCTCTTAGGTCATGATCGTCACTGAGGGAAATCGGGGCAGGAACAGACGCACAGACCATGAAGAAGCTCTGATTACTGATTTCCTCTCTAAGGCTTGTTCATTCACCTTGGCTTTTTTTTTTTTTTTTTGGTTTTTCGAGACAGGGTTTCTCTGTGTAGCTTTGCGCCTTTCCTGGAACTCGCTTTGGAGACCAGGCTGGCCTCGAACTCACAGAGATCCGCCTGGCTCTGCCTCCCGAGTGCTGGGATTAAAGGCGTGCGCCACCACCGCCCGGCCTCACCTTGTCTTTTTATACAAGACCACCTGCCCAGTTATGGTACTGCCCACAGTGGGCTGGGCCTTTTTTCAATTGAGGTTCCCTCTTCCCAAATAACTCTAGTGCATGTCAAGTTGACAAAAACAAAACAAAACAAAACAAAACAACAACAACGAAAACCCCAACCAGGATAGAAAGGAATGGAGGAAGGAAGGAGGAGATGGATGAAGGTTGAATCTAGAAATCCATAGTTTTGGAGTTCCCATTGGAAGTTCTGATGATTTAACAGGTTCTAGAAACAGCGAACTAGATACCCTGGGCTTGGTTTGTGGCTGTGTGGCTGTGTTTCTATGTGCATTTGTTTTTTGCTGCTTTGGTGTTGTTTTGAAACAGGGTCTCTCTTTATACCCAGGCTGGTCTAGAATATTTTAGGCTGGCCTCAAACTCATGGTAGTCCCCCTTTGATAGCCTCAAAAGTGCCAGGAATTACAAGCATGAGGTGCCATGCCAGGCTAGTGTGGGGTTATTAATTCATTAATTTTGAGGTAGGGTCCCGCTGTGTAGCCCTGGCTGTCCTGGAACTCACACTGTAGACCAGGCTGGCCTCACACAGAGATCCACGGGCCTCTGGCTCCTGTGTGTTGCCATGCCTGACTATGTGTTGACTTGTTGATTTGTGATGATTTTGTTTGTTTTCAGACAGGGCACCAAGTAGCCCAGGCTGTCCTCAAACTCACTTCTGTAGCCAAGAATATCCTTGTGCTACTGCCTGTGTCCACACCAGGGGGGAGGGCTGTGCGCACTTGCCGCTTTGCCTCGCTTCCTGACGACTCTGAGTCCTTGCCAACCTCGGACTTTGTCTTGTCTTCTCTTCTGATTCTGATAGTAATGATTGCTATAAAGTGCAAGAGAAATGATTGTGTGTCTCCTGTTCTATTAGGACACTCACTAGGAGAACCAGTTGCCAGCAGCGTGGGGGCGCGTCGGACACAGACTTCTCTGTCTCCAGAGCCGTGTCACCTGCTCTCCCCACTCTCTTCATTTCAGCCCAAAATCTTCTCACACTTACAGGTAGGCGCCCACTCAACAGCTAAGTCCGGGATCTTCTTCTTCCGTGATTCCTCTTGTAAGGATTTCAGAGAATTGCTGTGAAGTTGCAATAATGGCCACATATTTCTTTATCGTTAATCCTCTAATCCTTTGTGTCTTGATGTAAGATGATAGTTCAGGTTCTGTGTTTGAAAAGTTTGAGGAGATGTGACCACAGTAAGGTCTGTGGTACTGCTTTCCTTGGTTCTTGTTTCCGTCTTCATGGAATATTTGTTAGTAACTACATTCCTATTAGTTTGTGTTCCATTTTTTTTTTTTTTTTTTTTTTTGTCAAAAGAATATCCAGTGAGAATGTCATACATAGTAAATCCAAATATTGTGATACAACTCTTTTCTCTTTGGAAGGGTTTGAAGTTACAGCCAAGACTTTCCTCTCCTGATGGATCACAAGCTCTGGTGTCAGGAACTAGCCATCCCTCCTCCAGTCCTTCAGGACTTCTGGATACAGTAGGAAATGCTGTAGTGAGTAATCATTCTCTGCTGCTTGGTCAAAGTCAGAGCCTTCGAACAGATACATGCCTAACGCGAAACAATAGCGCTGCCTCTACCATGGGGAATCTCCCGGAATCAGTTCAAAATCTCGGAATGGATCAGCTGGTGGAAGCTGAAGATGTTGAGGATACGGGGAATCTGGAAGGAAGTGTAAATAGGATTCTGTTGGGAGATGTGCAAACTGTTCCAATACCAATCATAGACAGCCATCCAGCTCTTAGTAAGTGACTGTCAATTTATGATTATTTTTAACCTTTTATAGCCTGGTATCACTCTATCAAACAACAGAAAAAAATCTGTCATTTCTACCCAGTGGGTTTATAATATTTGTAAAGTTCAAACAAAATTATGAGAGGAAAAGAATTTCATTAACCTAATATTTTTTCTTATTATGTTTAATTGTTATTATTTGATCACAATGAAATTATTCATTGTCTGTCCCAGCACTTAGATGGCTTAGGCAGAGAAATTGCAAGTTCAAGGACAGTCTGGGCTACAAAACAAGTCCTACACCAGCCTGAGCAATTTAGCAAGACCCTATCTCAAAATGAAAAGAGGGCTGGGATGGTAGAGTACTTTATTGCCTAGCAGATCCTAAGACTGGGTTTAGTTCCAGTGCAGACAGGAAAAGAAGGAAAGAGCATAGGTAGGGGAAATTATTCATTTTTAGTAATTTTTTTATTTTTTATTTTATTTTTTTGAGATAGGGTCTCACTTTGTAGCTCTGGCTGTCTTAGAACTCACTGTGTAGACCAGGCTGGCCTTGAACTCACATGCACCACCATGCCCAGCTAGATTTATTTGCTTTATTATGCACATGAGTATTTTGCGTGTGTGTGTGCACCACATGTGTTCCTGGTTTCCAGGGAGGCAGAAGAGGGCATTGGATTTCCTGGAACTGGAGATACATATGGTTATAAATCACTGTGTGGGTGCTGGGAACTGAACCCAGGTCCTCAGCAAGAACAAGTGCTCTTAACCTCTGGGCCATCTCCCTAGCCCCATAACTCGTTTCTTTTTCTTTTTTTTTTTTTTTTTAAGATTTATTTATTTATTATGTATACAGTGTTCTGTTTGCATGTATGACTGCAGGCCAGAAGAGGGAGCCAGATCTCCTTACAGATGGTTGTGAGCCACCATGTGGGTGCTGGGAATTGAACTCAGGACCTCTGGAAGAACAGCCAGTGTTCTTAACCTCTGAGCCATCTCTCCAGCCCCCATAACTCGTTTCTTAATTACCTGATTTTCCATGGAAAATCTATGGTGATGTAAAACCAGGAAAGTTATTTGAGAATTCATAAAATGTGCTAGAAGCAAATCATGTAAGGAAAACTACTTTAGTGCAAAGATTATGAAAAAAAAGAAGTTGATAAATGCACACAGAAAGGATGGAAGTAAGTAGTAGATAAAGAGTAGATTGAAAATAAGAGGTTGGGTTATACACTTAAGTATTGAGTTCTGTACAAGCTACAAGCTACAGTAAGATCTGGGCACTGAGTCTATTTGAAGACCTGATGTCTTCCTTTTGCTGCTGAGCCCAGTTGTCACAGTGATAAAGTGTGTTAGCTCCCAGCTGACCTCACCACATTCCTTCCACACAGCCTGTTTGGCTGGCACACTTCTATGGGAAGAGATAAGTATGCATTTTGCTTTGAAGTATAAAAATCTTCACAGAAATTATTCTTAGAACATGTGTTTACCTCTATCTTAATCATCATTATTTTGGTAAATAAAACTGTGACTAGCCCCTTCTAGAAAGAGTTACAGCCTTTTAAATTTATGGGGAAACACACATGTAGGAAATTTACAGAGAACTTTTGTAACTACAGAGTAACATTATAGATGAGGAGAGAAATGAATATATATGCAATATTAATGCCATGAGAAAATTAGCTATATTCCCATTCTACAGATAGAGAAACCAAGGCTCAGGGAGGTTAAGTAATTGCCTAGTGCTCACATTTAGTAAGTGATAGAGGAGGGAACTAAGCCCAGGTATTGTATGTCTTACCTTCTAAAGCTTCCTTTCTCCCTCTGTGTTATCACATAGTATTTCCGGGAGCATAATTCCAAATTGCTTTCAGAGAATCCAAATCTGTATGATTTATCTGGTGAGGTCATAATCTGGGGGTTACTTCACCAGGATGTTATGGGGTTCACTGTCACTCTCGGCCTGTTGGCTACCAGGTCGAGAGGGGAAAGAGGAGGAGGGGCGACAGAAAGCTTCGTAGATGGCCCATGAGCACAGATGGAGGGAGGCCTCCGGGAGACAGACTCCTGAACCAGCTCAACTGTATTCCAGAGGATGAGGAATGTATAGCACTGGGGAGCCTGGGGATAAACCCTAATTTACACTAACTGTCATGCTCCTGTCACAAGGCTTAGTTTGTGGCAGTAGTGTCCTACATCAGAGCTCCTAGCACAAGTCCTCTTAGCAGGGTCAAGCTGAAGATGAATCAGGCATCTGATTTAGAGACAGCTTTTAGATAAGGTCAGTCCTCCAGGCCTAGGGACTTTCTCGATAAGGGCAGGTGGAGAGCAGAAAGCTTTGCTGGAGGGAGAGAGCTCCATGTGGCTGAGCTATTGAGATAAGCTGCCAGGCCAGGGCAGACTGCGACCTCTAACCATCCAGCAATGTATTCCAACAGGATGTGAGCGCCTGGGGTCATTCAAATCCATCCTCTGCGGGTCCCCATGTCACTGACAGAGCTGCAGTATAAAGTCTGGTATACCTGTAACAACACTGATACGTTCAGCATGCCGCTAAGCAAGCCACAGTACCTCTCACCTCTGCTTTCTAAGAACGGCTGACTAGCAGATTCCTGACAAAGTGGGGTGAAGGTTTGAGACCAGGTGTGACGGTACAAGCCTAAAATCCCAGCACTTGATCTCTAGGTTCAAGGCTGGCGTATGAGAACCTGTCTCAAAAACAAAACAAACAAATGATGAAGATGCTAGGCATTGCATTGGCCAGTTGACAGTGTTACTGCTGGTGTGCTAGCTCTCCACGCACGTGGTTATGAGCACAGTGGAGTGTGCATAGGTGTTCTGAAGTGTTTTAGATCAGCAAACACATAGTTCACACAGCTGAGACAGAATCATCATTTTAAAATGTGCCACTGTGTTTTCAAATATGCCAGATATTTTTCTCAATTTCACCATGACCCTTTTCTAAACCGTGGTATATTTGAGTTATTCTAAATTCAGATTGTTATTATTTTTTTTTTTTTTTTTTTTTTTTTTTTTGGTTTTTCGAGACAGGGTTTCTCTGTGTAGCTTTGCGCCTCTCCTGGAACTCACTTGGTAGCCCAGGCTGGCCTCGAACTCACAGAGATCCGCCTGGCTCTGCCTCCCAAGTGCTGGGATTAAAGGCATGCGCCACCACTGCCCGGCTTGTTATTATTTTTTAAAGATAAAGTCTCATGTAAACTAGGCTGGCTTTAAATTGGCTGCATTACTAAGGATGGCCTTGAACTCCTGATCCTCTGCTTTCCGTGATCTAGTGTGGGGATTACAGGTACCACCATCATGCCTGGCTTCAAGTTTATGTAACTTTACAGACCACAGTGTTGTAAAGTATACTAACCCTCGGGGTTTGTTTGTTTGGTTTTCAAGTTGAAGAAAGTCTAGAAGATACTCTGTCTGTGAACCAAGTTAAACAAGAACCCAAAGAACCAACACTGTCTATGGGAGGAAAAACTTTTCTGGACTGTAAAAAATTATCTGCTACATAAAATGTTTAAAGCTTTTCAGAGTTGACAGCTCTGGCACCTTCTGATGTCTTAGAAGGGGGAGATTGCCAGGGCATGGCATGTCAGTCACTGGACCAGAACTGAATGATGCAGCTTTGACTTAAAACTTGAATATTTGTTGTCAATTCCATATTTGTATTCCCCTTAAGAAATATTTTACTTCATTTTGTATTCCTTTATTTTTTTATTATCCAGTTAGACATGTGTTTGAAAAGATCACAGTAATTTAGCGTGAACACAAATGGTTAGCTCATCCCTGGAAACACCGAGTATTGCTTCTTACAAGACAACCAAGTCCAACAATAAAAGCAGTGTGAGTGCATGTGGAGGTGTGTCAGAAAATTTAGAATTGTGAGGAGAGTTTGAATTAGCCAACAGGTGAGAGAACATTTGTCATCTGTCTTATTTGGAAAGATAGAGCAATAGATTTATATGGTAACACTGAGCTGCCGATCACATCCCTATAGATTTGCATAGTATCACAGAGCCACCAATCACATCCCTGTAGATTTGCATAGTATCACAGAGCCGCCAATCACATCCCTGTAGATTTGCATAGTATCACAGAGCCACCAATCACATCCCTGTAGATTTGCATAGTATCACAGAGCCGCCATTCACATCCCTGTAGATTTGCATAGTATCACAGATCTGCCAGTCACATCCTTACAGATTTACATAGTAACACAGAGCCACCAATCACATCCCTGTAGATTTACATAGCAGCACAGATCTGCCAGTCACATCCTTATAGATTTTCATAGTAACACAGAGCCACCAATCACATCCCTGTAGATTTGCATAGCAGCACAGATCTGCCAGTCACATCCCTAGATACTGCATTTGCAGTTTATCCCCCAGGCTTTATACCTTTAACTATAAATGAATGTTACTAATGGTCATCTGTCAGAAATTTAATGACTTGGTAAGTATTGAAAAGTTTAAATTTAATTAATCAGATAAATAACAAATAAATGTATTTTATATGGGATTAGAGGTAAATACCTACTTAGGAATAGAAAGATGAATAATTCAGAGAATGGGGGGAAATGTTATAATCCCTACTGCTTGCAAAATTTTTGGCTTTTTTTTTTTAAAGATTGAATTTTTGGATAGAAAATAATTTAAATAATATTTACATTTTTCTATACTAGAGTTCGTACTGAATTGATAGTATTACAATTTATATATTTAGTTCATATTTGAAACTTGAAAATGTCTGATCTGATAAGCTCATTAAATAAGTATATTTATACCTAGTACTAAATAGCCAGTAATCAATATGTTTATTGTAAGATTTTTTTTAATGAAATATTGAGTAGCTAGAAATTTCAAATGTAATTGTTATGAAATTAACCTAGCTAAATGTAGTGGTGCACACCTGTAATCCCAGCACTCGGGAGGTGGGGGTAATAGGATTGTAAATTCCAGTCTAGCCTGGACTACACAGCAAGTCCTTACTAAGAAAGACAGAAGGAATCACCTGGAAAAGTTTTTTTCTGGAGACTCATTTAAGAGTGCATTTGAATTTTAATTTTTTAAAAAACAAGAATTTCAAGTGGATATTAAAGGTTAATACTCAAAGCATGAACAATATAATATGAAATTTGACCTCAATACTTTACATGGATATCCATCACTTTTGACTTTTCTAAGTCTGATCTCCCATTCTTATTCACTTTGTTTTAGCTACATGACCTGTATCTAAGTATAAAACACTGTTACTTTAGAAGTAGGTGAAACTCTACATTATCTTTACATCTATATCCTAGTCAACGTAAAGTTTATTCTTTATCTTATTTAATGCAAATTTCATATCTAATATATATATATATAATGGTTAGTAAGAACTGCTTTTTCTTTTCTAAGAACAAGATATCTAGTGCCAGTTTTTATGGAAGCAGGCTGCTGAATCTGACTGAGTATGTTACACTAAGTTCACCACAACTCCTAAATCACTTCAGAACCTGAGTTCCCTTAATCTGTGTGTACTTAAGAGGAATGAGATCAGATTAGTATATATTTAGAACTGTATTATAGGTAATGCTCTTTTGTGATCCTTGTTATAGAAACTATTTTTCAAGTACTAATAAGTTTTCATCTTCCGCTGGGCGGTGGTGGTGCACGCCTTTAATCCCAGCACTCGGGAGGCAGAGGCAGGAGGATCTCTGTGAGTTCGAGGCCAGCCTGGTCTACAAAGTGAGTTCCAGAAAAGGCACAAAACTACAGAGAAACCCTGTCTCGAAAAAACCAAAAAAAAAAAAAAAAAAAAAAAGTTTTCACCTTCCAATAATGATTAAGGTTTATTATTAAATATTTCATTCATTGAGCTATATTCTTTGGGAGACATTCCTTTTTGATGTTGAATTGCTAAGGAGAAATGCTTGTTAAGAAAGAAACTAGCCAGTTTCCTGTGAGGATGAGTAATAACAGAGGATTCAGTGCTAATGTTTCATCAGGAAAAAACAGTTAAAATATATTTCTGAGCCGGGCAGTGGTGGCTCAAGTCTTTAATCCCAGCACGTTGAGACAGAGGCAGGTGAATCTCTGTGAGTTCAAGGCCAGCCTGCTCTACATAGTGAGTTCCAATGACAGCCAGGGCTACACAGAGAAACCCTGTCTTGAAAACAACAATAACAAATACACACACACACACACACACACACACACACACACACACACACACACACACACACATATTTCTGTCACTTCATTCTATTAATGGTGCACACCTCTAATCCCAGTGGATCTCTGTGAGTTTGAGGCCAGCCTAGTCTACATAGCAAGTTCCAGGACAGCTGGAGCTACAAAGTGAGACCCTGTCTTGGAAAAAAAAAAGAAAGAAAGAAAATAAATAGTTCCGTCAGCCGGGCGGTGGTGGCGCATGCCTTTAATCCCAGCACTTGGGAGGCAGAGCCAGGCAGATCTCTGTGAGTTTGAGGCCAGCCTGGTCTACAGAGCGAGATCCAGAACAAGCACCAAAACTACACAGAGAAACCCTGTCTCAAAAAACAAAAACAAAAAAATAGTTCTGTCACTTCATTCTGTGTGACTGGGTCTTCTGTTAATATTTTTATCATGAGGACAGTAAGTTACATATATTCTTCCCACAAACAAATACAAAACAGAAAACTGAACACTTAAATTACCTAATTGTATGTTCTTGTTTTTAGGTAGAAACTGAAACTATTAATATTTTTGTGTATTTAAATGAGTAATAATTAAAAATGGTGTCTAAAATGAATTTAAAAATTCATTTGTCTTCTCAATGCATATGCTGTCACACATCTCAGTGCTGGCTAAAGGTGCTTGACATCGGTTTTTGAAAACTGTGTTTACATATTGAAATGTTTAATTCTTTCTAAATGTATTAGATCTTAAAAACAAGGGTATAAAAATTCAGGATCTGTATTTGGCTTTCTCTTAACAACTCCACAGCAAAATTTGACAAACATTCTTTAGTTCATGTATTACAGGATGTAGTATCTGCAGTAGTAGGCTGGACATTTAAAATAAGTGGTTAGAAATTCATAATCACAGGTTGGTTCATTTCTTTGTAGTTTCCATGTTCCAACCCTGCAAGTAAACGTTGTATATACAGCAGTAAATTATAAACAACCATAACAGACTTCCATCAGTAGTCATTTTCTACATAAGCAGCTCGTGTACTTAAAAAGCTTTAACATCTTATGCAAAGTGAATGTTTCCTAACCACACAGAAGTGAGGAAACACAAGCTTTGGGGTCTGCTCCTGCATTGAAGGTTTTAATTCTGAGGCCCACCAGCATGTGCCTCAACTTCTTCAGGTCCTGTCAGACTGTACTTAATCATGTGGGTGTGAGACCATGCTTACTTTATACCAGGTTTGTGAAGAAATTTTAAACTGTATGTAGATATTAGAACTTAATGTACAGTGTTCTTGTTATAATGTAATTTTTTCATTAAAGAATTCTGTTTTTTCTTATGTGTTCGTTTTTGAAAATATGCTTCTCCTAGAGATAATAGAAGTTTTGTTCATCTTAAGATAGTGGATGCTTTAGTACCTAAGAATTTTAACTAGAGATTTATGGCAGTTTTTGTGGTTTTTAAGGATTAACTACTACTAACATATACATATATGATGCGTGCGTGCATGCGTGTGTATGTGTGTGTGTGTATCAGTGTGTATATCAGTGAAATGGCTTGGTGGGTAAAGGTTCAAGTGTGATGTCCTGAGTTCAATCCCCCAAAACAGATGTAAAGGTGGAAAAAGGGAGCCAACTCCACAAAGTTGTCCTGTGACCTCCACACATGCATGCCTACACAATAATAATTTACAAAACAAATCTTTAAGGGCTAGCAATATGGCTCAGCAGGTAAAGCCACTTCCATTAAACCTGATCACACTGATAGAGATTTCTTGGACCCACAAGGAAGAAGAGTACCACCACTTAACGTACTCACACACACGAGTAATATATAAATGTTACCAAAATTGTAATAGAATAGCATGTATAAAAAGATACAAGTAATTTTTTGGCTCTACATTTGGTATAATAATATTTTCCAGCCGGGGGGTGATGGCGCATGCCTTTAATCCCAGCACTCAGGAGGCAGAGGCAGGTGGATCTCTGTGAGTTCGAGGCTAGCCTGGGCTACCAAGTGAGTCCCAGGAAAGGTGCAGAGCTACACAGAGAAACCCTGTCTCGAAAAACAACAACAACTAATAATAATAATAATAATAATATTTTCTTTCTATTTTTTTGGTTTTTCGATACAGAGTTTCTCTGTGTAGCTCTGGCTGTTCTAGAACTCGCTCTGTAGACCACGCTGGCCTTGAACTCACAGAGATCTGCCTGCCTCTGCCTCCCGAGTGCTGGGATTAAAGGTGTGCACCACCACCACGGCGGGCTAGGTACAATACTATTTTCAAGCACTGCTTCCTATATTTAAGTGATAACAGAATCATGTGATTAAAAGAAAGGAAGATCATTAACCCTTCCCCTCTTTTTTGTTTTCCTGCTCTGCTTTATTTTTAGAACAGCAGAAAATCTTGGGCTTGGGAGATGTCTCAGTTGATGAAGTACTTGCCATAAGTGTGAGGATTGGAATCCAGCTCCCATAACACACATAAACACATACACACACACATACTATACATGTAATAATAAATGAGTTAGTAAAAACAACAAAAAGAAGAAAAATCTAATCCAGGGCATGCATAAAAAGTGCCGATGGAGGCCGGGCGGTGGTGGCGCACGCCTTTAATCCCAGCACTCGGGAGGCAGAGCCAGGCGGATCTCTGTGAGTTCGAGGCCAGCCTGGACTACCAAGTGAGTTCCAGGAAAGGCGCAAAGCTACACAGAGAAACCCTGTCTCGAAAAAACCAAAAAAAAAAAAAAAAAAGTGCCGATGGTGCTGGGCGGTGGTGGTGCACGCCTTTAATCCCAGCACTTGGGAGGCAGAGGCAGGTGGATCTTTGTGAGTTCGAGGCCAGCCTGGTCTACAGAGCGAGATCCAGGAAAGGCACAAAGCTACACAGAGAAACCCTGTCTCGAAAAAAAAAAAGTGCCGATGGTTATGGGGGAGAGTCCTCGGAATGCGTCTATGTGGGTAGTTGAGTGAATAGGTCTTAATACATTACCATCACTGGTTGTGCTGGATTAAGGGCCCGGGGTTTTCTCATGTTCATAAACTTAGTACTAATCAGTATGTTTTACTGCAGTCATGGTTAACAGTGACGAGGATTTACTGAAAGCTAGATAGATACTTTTACTTGTTGGATCTAGAAAGATTAGTAATCTAACTCATGGAGAGGCGCAGTGTAGGCAGATAGTTACACAGTCATCTCCTGCAGTGTAGCGTTGTAAGTACTGTTGATCTAACACAGGACAAACAAAATTGAAAAAGTGCTCTGAAACATAGACAGTGAGGGAGGGAATAGCAGATCAGTCTAAAAAAGCAGGCAGCTGAGAAAGACCAACTCCCAAGTTCATTTTTCTCTGTCCATTCCTTAACTATTTGCCCAAAAATTGCCTGTTTTTCCTCAAGCCCTCCCAGTGAGACTGTTCCTTTGTTTGTTTGTTTATTTTTCAAAACAGGGTTTCTCTGTGTAGCCCTAGCTTTCCTGGAACTCAGTCTGTGGACCAAGCTGGCCTCAAACTCACAGAGATCTGCCTGCCTCTTCCTCCTGGGATTAAAGGCGTGTGCCCCAACACCTGGCGAGACTAGTCTTAAACCAGATCCTGGTTGGTACAGAGTTGGCTCAGTGGGTAAGGCGATAAGACAAATTCATTTGGGTTGACCTCTGATTTCTTATTTTTAATTGAAAACCTCAGATGTTAAGTTTCATTTTTGAGTGTTCCCTAGGAGTACGAAACCCCTTCCTTACAGAGAAACCGCATAGACCAGTGGATAGGAGTGGTTGGAGCTGGAGGAAAGGAGAAAGGTTGGTCAAGGAGCACAAAACTGCAGTTGTAAGGATGATAAATTCAGGGATGAGATGGACACCGTGAGGTCTATCCGTAGTAATAGTGTAGACTGTTGACTTGCTGAGAGAGTAGATCCGGGTACTCACACACACCGGAACGAAGAGCAGAGTTGGTCATTGGCTCAGCCAGGAAAGGCACTTCCTTCCCAGCCTGAGGATCTGAGTTCCATCCCCAGAACCCACACGCTGGAAAAGAACTGATTCCCAAAGAGTGGCCTCTGACCTCAGTATGTGTGCTTTGGCACAGCATGTATGCACACACACAGTATTTTTTTTTTTTAACAAAAATTAAGGGAGAGAAACTGCCTCAAAAAACTAAAACACTAAAAAAAAATTAAAAAACAACCTAAAAGACGAAAATGAAGGAAGAAAAGGGGGAGGAAGGAGAGGAGTCCAATAAGTGTAGTAAAACATGTTGTGTATGTACGACATGAAAACTCCTAAAACCAGTTATCGACTGATGGGGCTTGAACATTGTCGCTGGAGTCTGCGTTATGGATGATACTGCTGTCCTGCTCTTTTTATTTCTACATCGTGCATAGATGGGGTTCGGTATGAGCTTGGATGGTCAGAAAGTTACTCCTCAAACGGACATACTTTGGACACAGGTCATTTAAAAAATCTTCATAAATCGATTTGTAAATATTTATTTCATGTGTATATGCACGTGTGCGTGAGTGTATGTGTGCACACCGCATGCACCTCTGGCAGAGGTCGGAAGAGACTGTCAGGTACCCTGGAACTGCAGTTACAGGTGTCTGTGGGCCCCACGGATGGGCTGAGGACAAAACACCTGGTCTCTGTGAGAGCAGCACGTGCTCTTAACCACTGAACCATCTCCCTGGCCCCCGTTTATAAATACCTTTTTAAAATTTGCCAAGTGGTGGTGGCGGCGCACGCCACTTGGTAGGAGGATCTCTGTGAGTTCGAGGCCAGCCTGGTCTATAGAGTGAGTTGCAGGACAGCCAGGGCTACACAGAGAAGACCCTGTCTTGAAAATATATATATATATATATAGTGTGTGTGTGTGTGTGTCTGTGTGCCTATAAGTATCCAGGTGGAAGTAAATATGGATAAAGTCCAAAAAAACTAGGAAAGGATCCCTGAGACTGGAAAAAAAGAAACTTCTAGGAGGTGTACGGAACATACTAGAACACAGTTGAAGTGGGGATACTGGGGACCAAAGGGTACTGGGGGGGGGACAGGAAGACAAGAAGCGGAGAGGGGGATCAACCACATTGAGTATATAGGAAACGCCTATCCTTATTACTTTGTAAACAAGTTTTAAAAAACAAAACTAAGGGCCGGAGAGATGGCTCAGTGGTTAAGAGGTCAAGAGTGTGGACTGCTCTTGCAGATGTGAGTTCAGGTCCCAGAACCCACACGGCGCCTCACAACTCTCCACAACTTCAATTCAAGTTATCTGATGCCTTCAGACCTCCAACATCTGAACTGACATCTAACACAGGCATACGTGCAGGCAAAGCACACACTTATAAATAATCTAAAATATTTTTAAGTAAACATTTTTTAAATCTTTAAATTAAAAAATAAAATCTTTTCAGAATAGGAGGCTGGAGAGATGGTTCGGTGGTTAAGAGCACTGGCTGCTCTTCCAGAGGACCTGGGTTCAATCTCCAGCAGGATCATGGTGGCTCACAACTGTAATTTCCATTCCGTGGGCTCTAATGCCCTCTTCTGGTCTCTGTAGACATCAGACACTCAAGTGGTGCATAGGCCTATGCAGCAGAGCACTCGTACACATAAAATGAAGTATTTTTAATTTAAAAAATTCTCAAGCTAGGAGTGATGCCACATGCCTTTAAATCCTAGCACTCAGTAGAGGCAGGTGGATCTCTGTGAGTTTAACGCCAGCCTGATCTACATAGCAAGTTCCAGGCTAGCCAAGACTACACAATAAGACCCTATTGCAGAAACAAAAGTAAAAACAAAAAACAACAAAAATCTTTTTAAAAAGAGAAAAGAGAAAGAAAAAGAAAAGTAAAACATCAGGAGTGGTGTCCCATGCCTTTAATCCCAGCCCTCGGGAGGCCGAGGCAGGCAGATCTCTGAATTGTAGGCCAGCCTGGTCTACAGAGTGAGATCCAGGACAGCCTGGTCTACACAGAGAAACCCTGTCTTTTTGTTGTTGTTGTTGTTTTGTTTTTTGTTTTTGTTTTTTGAGACAGCGTCTCTCTGTGTGGCTTTGCACCTTTCCTGGAACTCATTCTGTAGCCCAGGCTGGCCTCGAACTCACAGAGATCCGCCCGCCTCTGCCTCCCGAGTGCTGGGACTAAAGGCGTGCACTGCCGCTGACGCCACCGCCACCACCTGGCAAAACCCTGTCTTGAAGGACAAAAAAAAAGGTATGTGTCCAAGTGCGTTCGTGCGTGTGTGTGTGTGTGTGTGTGTGTGTGTTTAAATCTCCAAGAAGGATTTAAACAGGAGTTGCAGGACACTGCCAAGTGATGGAGCACTTGCCTTAGCATGTGCAG